GATCAAGAAGTGATCAGTCATTACTGTACCTGCCAGATAACATCAGGATCAAAACAGAAAGGGGGGTTGGTGTTCTGTAATTACAAAGCGGAAATATAGACCACTTAGAAACAGCAACAATAAAGATATGTGGGAAAAGCCAGTATAGGATGAATAATAGAATTTCCACAGTACAACTTATACCCAACAACCCAAAAAAGCTACAACATGGGGATCTCTCACATGATCAACATCGACAAAGGACATTACTTTGGCTCTCTCACTCATTTGAAATTCCCAATACTTTTAGCATTTTTATTTATTTATTTATTTATTTGCAATTTTTGAATCAATACTGTCAGATTTAATTTGGATACTCTCATCTCTCCAGCTAGCACATGTTGAGTTCGTTAATAGACAGAAAAATCACAAAGCATGTGTGAAAAATAACTGTGGTTTCACTGTAAAGGAGCCACTTTTTGAACAAATAAAGTGTGTGTGTGTGTGTGTGTGTGTGTGTGTGTGTGTGTGTGCATAGTGACATATGTGGAGTCAACTGCATTTTTCACAGCTCAAACAACTTCAAAGAGCTGAGAAGAGAGTGAAGGCTTCCATATGTGACATTTGAAACAAATTGAATAAGTGCTCAACTCTGCATGGGCCAATAATGGACTTTACTTGGGCACGGTCGGCAACAATAAGAATGTTTTTTAGGTTGTGTGTGCATGTGTGTTTCTATCTGGCTTGACAGCCGAGCCAGATCCACTGCTACTGCTCACATTACAGCAGTGCTCATCAATTGTTAAAGTTTATTGGTATGAAGCTTCTATCAAATTAAATTAGAAAACAAGCTGCAATTGGAAAAGCAAGCTACCATGCTCAAACATCAGACTTTAATTTTGATCACAGCAACTACAGTTTAGACTCATTGATCTCACATGTTTGGAGATAAACTGGCAAACATTATCTACAGCTAATGATACAGTATAAACAAAGAAAACACCAACATTTCTGAAGCTGAGAACTTGACTATTACAACAATATACACTCCTCACATAGTACAATTACTTAAAAAAGGTGCCTGTTCTTATTTCTTCCAGATCTGCTATAAGTCCTACCTTCATATCAATGACTGTCTGCAGAGCCCTGGTTTTGGCCGGATCAGCTTGGAGCTGGTTCCGACGATGAAGTTCCTGGGGAGGGACCCGGTAAAAATAAGCCTGGCGGCTCATCATCTTTAGCAGTTTCTAACACTCACTTAAAAAAATAAATAAGCTGATCAGACTGATGAGTCTCAGTTTCTTCCTCTCCTCGTCTTTTTCACTACACGTTTCTGATCTTTGGTTGAATATTGCTGTTTTCTGTACCGCACATCCTTAAAAATTATTTTGTACAAAAAATAAATAATACTTCCTGTGCAGGTTCTCTGGGGGACCTCTGTCTCTAACTAGTTTCTTTTCTGTCTCCAATTGTTAGCAGGTAGGCAACAATAAGCTATACAACAGGTCATATGAATCTCACTCTTTCAGTTTGAATCTATTTCTTATCTCTCACTTGTTTTCTCTGCCTCTCTCACAGATGCCTCTGGCATGCTGAAGCTCTCGCTTAGCAACACTTTCTGCCAGCACATGCGCCAAGCTTCTTCTATCAATAATTAATGGTAGCTCTGACCTACAACTATGCCTACACAAAATCACACACATTCAGTCTAATAGGCACAGACACACATTTGTTAAAAAGGAACAACTGAGTGCATTAGGTAAAGCCCACTCAGGAGTAGGACCACAGCAATGTTATTAACAACACAGGCTTGAGCCCTGCAGTACACAAAGCATTTCAACTGTATTCACAGCAGCAACTATCCAATGCACCCTTAGAAAATATCTTTTGAGCTGTCAACATTGGAAAAATTCTCCTTCTGGTCTGCCAAAGTTGCCAATGTGTCATTGCTCTGCAAGTACTACATGTCCACAACAATCACTGCTACTGCTGAGATTTAATAACAATGTCACCACCAACACAGCATCTACCTGTAAAGATCTGACTCTAGTCTTGAGAGGAAGAAACATATAGTATCTGCTTTATATCTACACAGGCATCATCAGGTGTATCAAGCCAGAGCAAAGATGTTAAACATTAACTGTTTCCTCATGTAACTAAACTGCCTAACGTAATTTGACTGACTGAACGGCACACCATAAAGATTTCTAAACCTTTAACTACAGACGTAACACTGACAGCAGTTCTTTTTTACATACCCCCTGTTCACAGCCACACACACATTCACACCCAAGGACCCCCCCACCACAATCAGTCTGATCCGCAAGCCACCACACAGCTCCTGAACCAGGGGTTAGGGGCATCTCAGTTATAGTAATGAAGGAGTGGCCCTTGCTCCAGGACACCTCAATGATGTCAAGCTTTTTCAGTTTGCACCCATAGTTATCTTTACCAAACCACTGAGGCTGCTCAAAGCTTTAGGCCATCAGCTTTATAGAGAACTTATTCCAGGGCTATGGTAACAAAATACTCTAGGTAGGAGTTCATGATGACAGAACACGCCCACATATATTAATTACTAATGAGAAAAATTTTACTCATACCACAGAAACATGACAACTTCCTACTGCTGCTGCTGAAAAGTGGGAAGCACGCTCAGTGGTGTTCTTTTGTTCAGTAAGGGTTAAAAGTAAAATACACACACACACGAAATACCAAAAAGTCATAGTGAACTGAATCCACTTGAATACATAGGATCTCAATCTCAAAAACACAAAGCACTTCTAAGGAAAATTAAGTTATTTGAGTGGCTCTAAAAAAAAAAAAGAGGGAAATTGCTTCTTTTACCAGTGGGACAGATACACAGCCAAACACAGAGGCCGATTAAAGGGAGATAAATATCAGCAAAGCCAAATAAAATGGAAAGAAGACAATCGGTGGGTAGAGGAAAGCCACCAAATCAGACAAACCACATGGAGATGGGATATTCACTCTGAGACACTTCAACATGCTGTCAGTGGACATAATACTTAAAATATGGAGACACACACAGTTTGCCTTGATTCCCCATTGCTCCCATTATTCCAGTTCCCCTGGTGGGTTGAAATTAGAGGAGAAAGTCTTATTCTTGTCTGTCAGTTTTAGAAAAAGAAGAAGAAGCCTTTATTTTATTGTGACACGTACAACGAAATTTTGTTTGGAGCCGAGGGCCCCAGGCCACTGCGTGCATACATGCCACCATCACAGGCAACTTGGGGGGTTCAGTGTGTTTCCCAAGGACACTTTGACATGTGGACTGCAGGCACCGAGATTCAAACCTCCAACCTTCCGGTTGGGAGACGACTGCTCTACCCACCACACCACTGTCGGACCTTAGATAAGGAGGGATTACTGTTGTTAGAGCATGCCTCCTGCAGACTGGCATGCCCACTGCTGTCACAACCCTAATCTTCTACTGATCATCCATCCATCCATTTTCTTCTGCTTATCCGGGACTGTGTCACAGGGGCAGCAGTCTAAGCAGAGATGCCCAGACTTCCCTCTCTCCAGACACTTCCTCCAGCTCCTCCGGGGAAATGTCGAGGTGTTCCCAGGCCAGCCAAGAGACATAGTCCCTCCAGCGTGTCCTAGGTCTTCCCCGGGGCCTCCCCTACCCCTACCCTACCAGGGGCATATAGCCCCCGACAACATAGCACCTAGGATCATTTGGGTACTTAAACCCCTCCACCATGATAAGGTAGCATTTCAAGGAGGGGTCTACTGATCATATGTGTATTAATGTGCCACTCTGCAAATGACTTTTGGTTTGCTTGTGCACATTTATCGGTCCCTTGGAGTGAGTGTGTGTATTAACTCTACAACGGTTGGAGCACAGTTCTTGGAATTGTTGTGTCTCGCAATCGGGGAAATTAAGAGAGCATGTCATCAAAGGCTGTCTTCTCTGCTCCACATGTGTTGGAGAACTGAGCATATGGAAGGAATGGGCTCAACCGTAACACTATAGCAATAGGTGCTGGCATCTTGAATGAAGGATAGGGTCAAAAGGTTCAATTCTATCCTGAAGGCAATGGTGTCATCTATGCCATGCGCAGACTAAAACATGCACAGATCCACTCACATATAGGACATTCATCAATCACATTTCCATGTCTTCACCAACAGTGTGAGAATAGCTGAAAAAGGAAATATTTGCTTGCCACAAATGTGAAAATCAGCTCATCCATCAGCTCAAAAGAGCAGCTTAAAACTTGAGTTTGAAAAGACAAAGGGAATCTTAGAGGGAATCAAAGACTTGCCAAAGAATATATTGGGGGAAAGGAGAAGGTTTGAGGGGTGTAATTTTGTCCCGATAAACTTTTCCGCTCATACATTTTGGTAGTTCAACAGAGCATAACGAGTATGTGGTGCCCGAGGTGTGGTGGAGAGAAAGGAACATTGGTGTGTGTGTATTTGCTGATGGTATTTACAGTGGTCTTCAAATGTTAGCTGAGAGGGGCTTCATTAGCACAGGCTGAAAGTGGCCAATCATGAATGGAGCGCTAAAAAAACCGCAGGCAGGACAGGTCTTTAAATTAACCACAACATATAGTATATCAGCCTAGGGAGGAAGAAAGACTGTGCAAAGTTGATGGACAGACAAACATGCACATGCACAAGGGGAGATCAGAAATGAGAGAGGAGAAGATTAACATTTTGCAGCTGATAGGCTGGTGACATTAGAAAGTGGGGGCAAAAAGAAAAAAAAAAGATTCACCGACATTAACTTCCAAGTCTTCTCAACATGCTGGCACTAGAAGGTTTTAAAAAGCTACGTTTGTGAAGTTTCATCAGCATTTGAGATAGGGAGTGGGGGTAGACAGAATGGCTGCCAAAAACAGCAACAGGACTTCTGAACCTATTCATAGAAGCCATAAGTGCTTTACCGTTATGTTATTAACAGCAGAGCAATGCTACATACTTCTAAAACTGAGTGAGATGTCTTCATATACAGTTGGAACCCTAACGCTATCCAGAGCCCTAAGGATCACATCAAATCTACAGTACAATACGTATGAAAGAAACATGCCATCTCCAAGTAAAGATTTCATAGTGAGTGTGTGCATGTGTCTGTGCACGCCCTTGGCAATAGTTCAGGACAAGCAGGAACAGACCAGCGGTGCTGCTGTTATTATTGAGTCTACAGGGACCTGGCAGCTGGGGATAGTCAATTAGACCCAGATTTATGCCTCTCAGCATGTGTGTGTGTGTGTGCGCGCGCGTGCCACACAACTTAGAATTAGTGCATGTAAATGCCACTGTTAAACTTTAATAGAACACTGCCACTTTATGGACATAGCTAGTACTGCAGAAATTTACTAGAAAACATCATAGTGGAGATGCTGTTTGACAAGAACAGCTCAAACATGCTACTTTATACAAGTCTTACACATTATCCCAAGAAATGGCAGTGATGTTGACCAGTCAAGTGTAATCATCCTTGGACACCAGGCAGCAAAGAGGTTGACATAGATGTGTCAGTGTTTCTGTAGTGAGCTAAGACAGTCTGACAGCTGACAAAGCTGAACAGGAAACAAGCGAGAGAGCAACACTACACATTTCGTCCCCTGACAACAGACATCAGCAGGTGAAGGAGTGATGGAGTGAGCTCTGCCCATACATACAGTACTGCACACCAGCAGACCATACACACATAAACACAGACAGCTGGTTCAAGTAATTTCACATCTGGTCATGGCCTGTAAGTCCTGAGGGGTATGAGAGAGGGAGGAAAGGATCTCACTCTGTGGACATACACAATTTTCTAATTTGCTTCATATAAACCTGCAAAGATTCATACATTTTCACTTCTCTTAAACCTTCCTCACATACAAAATCATATATACACACCAATTTAAGGTGCTAATTTGCCTTCAAAGCAGCAAAGGATACCAAAAGCCTTTCTGACAACCCTCAGCCATGTTTGAAGGAAAAATAAAAGAAGAGGTGAACTGAAAATGGGTGCATTTATCATCCCAGCTCAAGCTAAACAAGCCAGGTCATTTAAGAGAATAATGGGTGTGGTAATGACTGGTAGCTGGGCTGGTTTCTCTTAGAGCTAATCAGAAATACTAAGTGTAGTGCCCCCTAATAGGCGCAATAAATGCACTACCACAAACGACTTGCCTTCACAAGTGCAAGGCTAAATTACTACTCTGACAAATAAACAATGGCAAGGAAGTTAAAAAGGTACATAGAAATCTGTCAATCTATATTCAGCCCAAAGGTTAACACCAATTCCACACCGACCACAAACTGATGAAATAAAAATGTCAAACAATTTGATTATTCATCAACAAAATCCCCTGAAGTTTAATGTTTTAATTCATGAATGCTGAATTTTTAAAAAGTATGTTTCATCATGTTTAGGCTTCATCTATTTGGTGAGGTTTAGAAACATGTTACTTGGTTAGATTAATTTAACAGTTAAGTATTGAATATTTTTAAATTTGATTGAAACTTGACTTTTTTCTAAATGTAAAAACTGTATATGGATCATGTGCAGTATTAAACATTAATCTTATCTGAGGCACATGCAATAAAAATAAACTACAAATATCAAACATTCCTATAGTACAATCTGCAAAACTTTTTCTTTTACTTTCAGCTAGGCCTTTAGTTTGGCTTAAAAAGCAAGGGAAATTAAGTACACTACATTTATAGCTGTAATTCAGCACATCTAGTATGCAAGGGAACCTTTCTGCAGTCCATCTGTGTCTGTCACTCTCTCTCACATAAACACACAGATACAATGGGAAAGTGTGCACACAGAGGCTCCATCACCCCATCTCACCCTCAGAGGAGATGAGGCCAAAAGGGGACAAGGAAAAAACAACAATCACTTCTCTTTTCAATCAGAGGTCATTAATCATACATTAATATTCAGAAAAACACAGTCTGTTTTTCTACCGTACAAAAACACTCCTTTCTCCCATCTCTCAGACCCAGTCACCCCCTCCTCCTCCTCCACTGCACACATAGTACGTGTTAAGCTGTCAAGTAGTTAAAAATAGCACAGCACGCAGAGTGTGTGTGAGCAGGTACTCACCTCTTATATACAAAGCATGGTTAGATCCTATACCCAGGCACAGATTCACATACACAAGTACAGCAGTGGTTGCATTAGCAGGGTCAAATCACCCATGCTCCCCTCTAACAAAATCAGCACGCTGACAAAACACCCGGCATGGGTAGATATCCCATCAGCCACCGGCAGCCCAGCAAGGGAGTGTCCTCACTAGAAACGCTAAGCCGACAGGCGCCAGATGTGCATGCATGCTCACATACAGACCCAGACAAACACATGCGCAATGATTCTGACTGGGCATAACAGATACAGAGGCAGACAACACACAGAAAACAAGATCATGATGCAAACAATAGTGGGAACAATCACAGACACACAACAAAACACTAACAGAGTGGTAAAGAAATTAAAGGCTAAGAAGATTTAGGTGTTAAAAATAAACAAGGCAGAAGTGAAGAGCACAGAGGAACCTACTGCTAGCCCTCCTGGCAGAGGATACAGACTCACCTGCACTACACACATCTTGACTTGAACTTACCAAAAAGACTGGCCATTTCTTGTATTTCAACTAAGAATTTTTGAGGAGCTGCAATTGAAATTCCCACCCTATTAAATTGTTTCATTTCAACTGCACAAAATGCTCACTGAATGCCAGATACTGTAGAATACAAATATATGCCAAGTGCTATGTACAACGCACAGACAAGTGGCAAATAAACAGCTGCCTTATGAGCATGTGCATACTCAGGAAAACACACACAGATTGTAAAACTGCATGGTAGAACACAGGCTTAGAGCTCTCCGGATGTTAATCTGGTCCACTGATAAGACCTGCTGAGCTGCTTTTTACTGCCACACATAATACAAGCACCCTCACAGATGCACAAACAAACAAACAAAGGCACAGACAAATCTGATCGATAAATCTCTCAACATGCAAATGGACCATATATGCATCTATGTAATGAAGTAGCAAAAGCGTAACTATCATCCTAATGATTCATATTCTATTACAATATGTGTTTTGGTAACAAAAAAAAAATCAAATATCTTGATATTTTTAACTAATCATCATCCACTAGATTGTATGATGGCAGGAGCAACTCACTGTGAGACAAATGATAAATGATGAATTTCAACATACCATCTAGCCCTACTGTTAAAATCATTTGTATATCTCAGTAATTCATCTATAGTACTCAAGTTGCTACACTATGGAGCCATAAACATATGATGAATAAAAACACACCTCTCTCACATGCATGTTCTCCAGCTGTGCTTCAGCCTCCTGGGCTGCTACAGTTACGATGCCTGTCCGCTGTCCCCGACCCCAGTGTCCTTGGCCTTGACTCTGAAGCATCTCCAACAGCCTCTGGATACTCTCGTCCCGGGCACCCAGTGTCTGTTTCTGAGAGTCAATTCTCATCTCCATCTCTTCCATGGTCTTCCTCAGCAGGACCAGCTCCTTGGCCTGCCGCTCATGCTCTGACTGCAACCGGAGGAAATTCTCCTCTGATGGATCCAGGAGAGGGGGAGAAGAGAAGCCATCACACCCAGGCACCTGACATGGGCTGCAGCGCTGAAGGGATTTAGAGGTGGGTGCTACTCCTTGACTTGGAATGTAGAGGTGCTGATTTGGACTGCTCCTTGTCCCAGGTTGAAGGGTGTTGGCTGGGCTGGTTCTCTGCCCAGCTACTGCAGTGTTACAGCAATACCCAGGGCTATGAATGATAATGTCAGCTTCCTGGTGCCTTGGACTGTAGGTGTTAGATGGGCTGGTTCTGGGGCTGTTCTTTGGCCCAGGACTGTGTAGGTTGCTTGGGCTTCGTCTGGGACTGTGGCCAGGGCTGAGCCCCCGTCTGTGATCCTGGTCCATTTGGATTTCCTGATAGGAGCCAGGGTTCTCCTGCTGCAAGTGGCTGTTCATCTCCTTGTGAGCCCTGAGCTCCTCCTGAAGTTCCTGAACTGTTAACTGAAGCAAAGACAGAGAAAGATTAAGCTCCCTTTCATCTTATAAGCATACAACACAAAAATTCCTCAACACACACATATACAAAATACATATATATATGGTGGGGTACATGAAACAGACCTTGTTTCTTTTGAGATCCACATGCTGCAGCAGAGAGATGTGACATATGAAGGACAAACACACAGACACACATAAGGCCAATATAGAACGCTGTATATATATATATATATACACACACTAAATTGTGTAGATTACTTAACTTTTCTCAGTTTGTAATGCTGTTGGGTGATGGTTGCACAGTTTGGCCACAAGGGGGTGACAGTTCTCCTCAAAACACCAGGAGAATATAGAAAAGCAAAAGTGACAGATACTGGCTTTCAATGAGATGGGAGGGGGGTGGATAGGAGGTAGGGGTAAGGATAGTGGGTGATGGCAGTCCACATGGAAACAAATGTGATAATTATAAAAATGAAAAGAATTATTCAACAGCATTTTCAAAATATACCTCAAAAGAATCAGGGTGACAGCTACTGACTTAATAGCCTTTTTGGGGGGGGGGGGGGCAGATTTGGACCTAAATAAGTGATAATTAAATATCAGTTAACAATAACAATTAGAACATTAGAACCATTTCAAACAAGTGGACAGACTGATAAAATAATAATCACCATTTTAGTCTTTAATAAACTACATCAGTACACAAAACTGATTCATTTCTCCACTGACAAGTAAATTACCAGTTTCTTGCCTGTGCCATCTTATAAAACATTCCCTGTCATGTGCCATGTTGTGATATTTAAAAACCTTGGGATGATCTTTGCCTGAAAAAAAAGTATATCCTTGTAGGTTCAAAAATGTTTTTCTGCACAAAGTGAGTTTGTGAAGATTGAGTCCATAAGCAAGACAGACCAGGTTTATTGATGCACTGACTGACTCACTCGAGCAAATGATTACTGAGTAATACAAATGGGTCCCAGCAAAGCGTTGCTGGGGAAAACAATTTACTCATTAAATCACCTGTGTGATAATACATTTTTTTCTCCAATATTATGAATCCTGTGTCCTGAGCGTGGGGGTCACCAAGGACAAAATTTAGATGTAGGAGGGAGGCATGGGTGAACATGGATAATCAATGCAACAAACTAGCAGTGAATATCAAGTCAGAGTGGGAGGACAATCCACACCAACAAGGACACATACAACCAAGACTGTAGACACAAATACAATATATACAGGTGTACACACCACACATACACACACACTCCAGCCAAACAGATGGTTAAGAAACAACTCCGGTCACTGCAGCTGAGAGAAAAGGTGACATTGCTTATGCTAATAGCAAAGTTCTGCTGTCAGACTGAACTCTTCCCAGAGTGTCTTGAAGGGCAAAAACAGGAGAACGGAGGAAAAACAGTGGAGAAAAGCGATCATCTGACTGAATTTCAACACTTCCCAACATCAAGCCGCTGTCACCGTTAGAGGTGCAGCCTGTCGAGCTCACATTACGTTACTTGTGTATCAAAACTAACTTTTGATTTCACAAAACACTGACACAATGTATTTAAAGTTAGGACAGGATGTACTGTGCACATTTTTTGTAAATAATACAGGTTACACCTATATTATTGTCATGTGTCATGTGACTAGGTCCAATTATGATTGATGATCATATCTATGGTGAAAGATTGGTTTAATTAGCTCAAGAGGGAAAATAACACTGAGATTGCAGACATCCATGCACATTCATCAGCAGTGTTGGACACATTTTGGATATCCAGAATATAATGGACCAGCCACTGTTTATTTGACTGTTCAATAGGGAATTTAGACTAGTCTCAAGAGAATTGTTCTTTTATGTTAATTTATGTAAAGTTATTGTCTTTAGTGTTCCGAGTTACAAATTGCTGGTTAATAAAAAGTATTCCCCATTTTTCTCTCTTATTTCTCTTGTATAAAAGCGAGGTCTGAACTAAAGCATGGATTTGAGAATCATCCTTACAAACCGATACTAAAACCGGGCACATCACTAGTGAGTGTACATCATGTCGTTTTCCTGTATGGACTTATTGATCTTTCTACAGTAAGAATTGTGTGAAAGTTATCAAGGACAACTGAGTTCAGCGTGAGGAATATACGCTGATAAAACTGCATTGTTTTTCTATTCCAACACCTGGCTGTATATGAGGATGCACAAAAACGTGGTTAATGTATTTTATCAGAGTCAGTCTATGTAGAGGAGGTTTTCTTTCTGTTTGTCTAATGGTGACTTTTGTGATGGACCCACTCCCTGAGATTTTTTTAATGGTTTCTACTATGCCAGTTTTGATCACATTAATAAAATTAAAATCCAGTTAAAAAAAGAAAAAAAAATCTAAGGAAATAAAGGTTCTCATAAGGTGCACAAGGGTTATAAGATTATAAATCTACACTTAAGGTACTGCAAGATAAAAGAAAAGGTACAAAGACAGCACAAGAGTGTGGGAGACAAATGAGCCAACACTTCAAAAAGAGTAATACACCAGTTGTATAGGTCTGTCGCCTGTGGAGCAGAACAGAGACAAACACATCCATCTACCACAGACAGGGCCAGCCTGCACAAACAGACCGGTAATGTTGATGGTCCTGCTCCCTGTTAATCCATCAGACATGACAATCCATAATTCATTGCCAAAGACATTTACAGTATTGTGTAGAAACCTTAGTCAAATCTCCCTGCCAACTTTGTGGCTTGTAAAATGGGTGTTTTTGTGCACCTGTATACAAATTGTGTGTGCATGTGGATCTCCCTTTTTTTGTGGCAAATGCAGATTTTCACATAATTCTGTTCATTTAAGGAACCATTTAGCAAAAGATGATCAACCAAAGCAATGAAAAACAGTTAATTGCTACCTAGAAACTGATGTACTGTATGTGCGATCAAGTGTATGTGTGTGTGTCACAGTGTCCTCACGCTGTATGACAATGTGAGATGAAAAGGCTATAAATACAAATGCAGAGGTGGCTGCTTGGTTACAAGAGTAAGAAGTCAAATGGAAGATCACTGATTTGATTAAAGTTTTGGCATTCTTGTGGGAGAGAAAGATTCAATAAAAACTACAAAAGCTGTATAGACTGAAAGATTCTCAACAGAATCAAATCTACCTCCGATTTCCAGGTATTTGCATCTACAGAATTACTTCTGTTTTTTCCAGCAGACACAAGGAAGTGAAATGCCACATGGACAAATGAAGAAAAAGCAGAAGAAAGACAAAGAAAGAACAGAGACACAGTAGCTATGCAGTGAAACAGACTGACAAACAGATAATATTGCCTCAGACTGAGTGGGCCAGATTCCAGAGAGATGACTGGTCACTGTCCCTTCAGGAGTAGCTGTAAGCTTTTTCAGAGTCTGGCTAACGCTCAGAATGGCTGCCACAAGGGTATGTTCCCATGGAAACGCAGACAGCGCTGAACCTGGCAAACATCTTTACAAATAAACGGAACAAAAGCCTTTCTATACTACCTTGAAGACAGGAACAAAAGATGTGACATGCAGAAGAGATGGGTGGGTCAGCACATAAATCTCAGTGTGATGTCTGAGCAGATAAATCAAAGACATTTTCATCCACCACTTGAAATGAGACTTTTTCACTAATAAAGGTGTGTTGTGTTAAAGTAACTCATTGTTTATTATGGACACTGAGCAGCAGGCAAAACTGCTTGTTTTGTTTGTAGTCATCTAAAATTTTTCCTTCAAGTGGAAATAATTTTTGAAAAAAGAAAAAGTCAGTTTTCTCACCTGCAAAACCTCTTGGTGTGGCCTGTATTGATTTTTCTGAACTGAGGTCCTCACTCCCTCCTCCCCTCTAACTCCCTTGTCTCTTTTTATATCGGGACTCCAGAAGTTGACACTGTTTATGCTGTGGCCAGTCCTTCCCTCCTGACCCCCATCTAGTTCCCTCCTCAGGTCCTCATTCTCTTTCTTCAGCTCTCTTAGCTGTGCCTGGAGATCAAATGTGGAAACATCTCCCCATCGAAACGAATCCAGTGCCCGTCTCCCAGACTGGTTCCGCAAACTGGAAGTGCCTGCAGAAACCAAGGTCTGGTCTCCATAGGGGTCTGATGGGTGATGATGCAGCCCAGAGGAAGTGATGTTTGGGCTGCTACCTGTGGCTGTTTTCCGGCCAGCGTAGGAGGAACGACTGGTGCTCCTGTCCAGCGTCATGGTGCCTTTGGGGTATCCACCAGAAGGTTCCAAGGAATCCCGCTCATTAGGGTACATGGCACCTGAAGTTGCATAGGCAGCACTCAAAGACTGGATGTTCTCCATAGACAGGGTTTTACCCCCAGGTGCTGTTGCTGAACCACGAGTTGCTCTTTTGTCTGCTACTGCAGCAGGTTTTATCTTTGAACCTTGCCTTGACACCAACCCTAGACCTCCAGCCACTCTAGATGTTGGTGCAGGCATACCCCCTGACACAGAGCCTGGCTCTAGCCCTGATCGGGAGCCCGGTGCTGAGCTTACAGCCTGTTTGCCTTTCCCCTGCTTATGGGATCTTGAGAAGCGTGAATGGGATGTACTGCCATCTGTGTGCCCACTATTCTTTGGGCCAGCAGGCAGCTTGCTCTGCGGAGGCTTGGCTCTAATATTTAAAGGCATATTTATATGGCAAAAGACGATTTCTGAAAGGATCCTGTTAAGTTTAACAATTTTTTCAGTTTGCCACTTTAATAAGGTTTAAAATTAAGGCCACCTTTCAGCCTTTCAGTTTTCACCTATCCATCCCTGATTGTCTAGGGCTTGAGGCCGAGTCTTATTCAGTCCAATTTGAAGCAAGTAGCAGTGACTTCTCTACACAGCTCCCAGACACAGAGGCCAGAGGTCATGTTGTTTCAGCTATGGTGCAGGACATCGTGAATTCTAGAGAAGTAAGACAAATCATATTAGATAAAAACAACAAGTAGCATCAATACATGGTTAACAGAAGTGGCTACTGTAACAAAACCTTTGCCTTTACACATGCACACTGTTTTTGTTCATTTCCTTTCAGCAACACTGATTTTTTTTCCAAAACCCCTTTTTATTCAACTAAATATTCAAAACATTGCAAATTTCTCATACAGTCTAAAATTGGCAAATTAGGATTTAAAATCAAACTGATCAGTAATAGTAATTAGGCTACAAATCTGATTAGTTCATGACAATTTCTTGCACTGAATATTTCATTCAAAGTTCCAGACATTTTATTCAATAACAGTTATAATTGTGATGTATATTAATGGTTGCCAAGCCTTCCTTTGAAAGCTCACATTAGTTTCCATGTTTCCCTGCTCAGTAATGTTCAGCTGGGACACAATTTCTGGGTTAGCTAATCAGCTGGGCCATTTCAGCACCATGGACAGCACCGAATCTGCTCAGATCCTAAGGAACAGGGGCAAAATTCAGTAGCAGGCTATGGCCACATCAGACTGCAGAGGGAACTGGAAGACTAGTCTTCAGCTACCATCCCTCTGAGGCACTTGCAAATTCATGGCCAGACTTCATGAAGCTGTAAACACGGCAGGGCCTTGGCATCAACTAAAAATTGAGGACAAAATTAGTCACTTGAACTACAGGCTAAGTCATACTTGGAAAGTACCAAATGTTAGGATTGTGCCCATATTAGGAAAAATATGAGCACACTGTGTGTCCATACCAAACTCAGTGTTATAGGGTCACTTGTTGTCAGTTAGGTGTAAACATTTGTACATTAATTCAAATATGCAAAGAATTTCCTCAGGGATTCAAAGTAGGCACACCCAGTGATGGACCAGGAGGGCTGCCTGTAAATCAGAAGCAAATCCAAATCATAATCCCTCCTTTAATCCAACAGGATTGGGTGCTGGGAGGCACTACACAAGATGCAACCGAGAGATTGGTCAAGTCTGCTTGTCAGTCACAACATAACTGTCAATCCCATATCCATCACTGTGTGAGAGAGACTCAGCCTTATGTGCCAGCAATGGAACCATCAATTCCTGTATGTTGGTACCTCAGTTGTACATTTAAGAAACTAATTGCAAAAATTAACCGTATCAAAACCTTTTAAAATAATTAACAAGCAGACTGGCACAAATAAATATATTTGCATTACAATAAAGGTTTTCTAAGTCAAAGCAGCTTGTTAGTTTCCATGGGCACGCGCCAAGGTTATGCAGCTGTTCAGCCCCATGTCAAACCATACTACAGAACGAAAGCAGTGACAGAGAAAGGACTGATGAAAATGCAAAAATGAAGCACCACTAGTATGAAAGGCCTCACTTCGTACCGGTCAACGAGCCTCTGTACTTCTGAGTTGGCAGTCAGCTGTTGCCGCGAAGAGAAAAGTCAGTTCACCACGCAAACTGCAATGAAATAACGCGCTCCTAATAATAATATAGGCTATTTCATGTATACGAGCCCCTCTCATGAAGCTCAACATGCTGCTGGCCGAACGAAGAAAGTACCAAGCACAACACAATATTTCACGAGTGCAAGAGTAAAACGGTCATTTTTTTATGTGACTACGCGTCGAATGGTTCTACTACGACCATGGCATCATGAAGGATTAGTTTCTTGTTCGTATGCACACGGTTAAACGAGTTGGAGCTAGTACCTTACATAATAATTAATCTGCCAGACAAAGTAAAATCACAAGGTTTTATTTGTTTAAATGTTGCAAAATGATGCCACAAAGTCCAAGTCAGCGTGTAGCTACACTTGCTTACCGGTAAACGGGCACCTCTCCATCACTGTGAAGCCACAGCCACACTCCGTCCGACCTCTGCGCGGGCTCCATCTCATCAGCTCAGCTTCTTCTGACCCGTCCTGCCATCGCAACCGCGTGGACGCGCTCTACTCAGCTGGCGCGTGCACGGCCTACATGTAGTGGTAGGGCAGCAGGAACAGCAGTGACAGGAGGGTTTTTGTTTTTATGAACCTGCATGAGCGTTAGCTGGACATGGCATTTTTAAGATACTGGCTATACAAAAATGCGATGTAAATTAAAGAATAGGCTCATTGTAATTAGGATCACATTCAGTGACAAGAAACCAGTTTATTCTGCAAAGACAGATCATTTTTGACTGCCCAACCTTCACCAATGTTACACTCTCACCGTCCAACTGGTTCTTTAACCCTATAAAACCATTTGCATCATATTTGTTACACGAGTTTCTGAGCAAAAAAAAAAAATTGCCAAAAATGCCCCATGTATCAAATGTGATACAAAACAAATTCAAAATAAACAAAATAATATGGCACATTTATTCCTATATGCCTGGACTGTCTGTCTGTGCATAAATGGCAAATAAAAACCTTGAATCTTAAATTTTCTTTTGGATTTTGTTAAAAGGTTTAATAAACATCTCAGTACCAAAAAATTAGAATGCTTTGGTTATTTTTTGATGTGTCAGGCTTTACAGGGTTAAACACTGCAAACAAGTGAATCCTCTTGATTTAATTAGCCTGCACCTGGCTGAGTAATCATAAATGAAGTATGTATGTAAGTAAGTGTGTATTTGGGTTCAGCCATGCACAACATGCACCACATGCATCAGTAAGTCTTGTTTGAGCATACGCCTACATGATTTTTTCCCAGCATAACATTTTAGCAGAACCAAACATTGTCTGTATTACATGTTATCAGTAATGATTTAATATTGTTTCTCAATATGGGGGATTTAGGACTTTATCAGTAGGAATCATAATTTTACATGATGACCAAGATGTAAATGAATTTAAATTGTAAATTGTGATGTAATGCAATGAAATGTAAATGAAAACAAATAAACACTTGGAATGGCATTTATAAAAAAAACAGGCAATATCTTGACATTCAGTAATTTTATCTCATTAAAGTGAGTTTATAATATTAGCTGTGGGGTATGAGAACTGAAGCCACAACCAGTAGTGACAAAACTGTTCAGGTGCTGTTTTAGAGGTTTAAAAGGGAACTGCTGCTGTTCAGCTCAGTGTTCATTCACTCAGTATAACTCACCAGAAAATGAAGAATGACTGTTTGTGTTCAGAGGTTTCACTTTCAGGAGACAGATACTGTATGCCACAAGACAACATATGAAACTGGGAATAAAAATGCACAGGCTAAAACAGATGGAGGCCTGCAGTACAACACAGCAGGTCTTGCTGATCAGTGGGTATTTTTGCATGCACTCAGATTGTTTATTTAGCTTTGAATTTTGTCTGGTGATCAGCAGTGTATAGAATAAAGCTTTCTCCATGTTTGTTTGTGTAGCTACACAATAGCCCTATCCCAAGTTATCCCCTCAAACATTCAAACATTCAAACATGAAGACCTCACATTTGAATTTCTTACACTGAGTAGATTGGGCTGATAAAAGCCATTCGTTAACTGTAACCTGTAAGAAACATCAGTTTCATTTCCTCCCAGCATCTAGCCAAAGAGAAGTGAAATTCTGAGACTGGAAGTTGGGGTGTGTTTTCTAAATGTAACTACATTATCTTTTAGTAATGGTTATGAAATCAACTTCAACAAACAAAATCAAGTCATTTACAGTATTTGTACAGGTGCAGGTATCAGTGTCTCTGTACAATGTCTTTACAGCCCATAGTACTCAGGATGAACTCACAAAGAAAAAAATAGAGCAACACAATTGTAAGATAAAACAACAAACCACTATCTTGAAAAGTTGGAACATTTAAAATTCAAGTATCATTATGTGCAACATCATTAATCAGAGGGTGAGTTTGTCAAAGTGAGGTAATAAAAAGATGGAGGTGTTTCCACAAAGGTGCTCCCTAGCCAGTTAAATAAAACTTTCACTCATGTTGTTGTCATAAAATTTGAGGTTATCTGATGACAATGCCATTCTCATTCGATTCCAGAAAAGGGGTTGAGCCCGTGGGTTTCTTGGCCAGGACAATACAGACTTTCTACACAACCTCTTCCGCAGCTGAAGGTATTTCAGTTTGGGAAACATGTCATCCAACAAAACCAGCACAGCAGTGTCCACCTTGTTTGAATGAAATCAAAGACAATTTTTTGTTGTAAAAACATGGCAAAAAGTCAGAGGGGGGTAAGACTGACATCCACAAAATGCTCATGAAAATGAAAAATGCATTTTACTAACCTTCTCATCCAGAAGACGCTGCTGTACCATGAAGAAGGCCTGGCGGATCACACCATTTACTCTCTCACCACCGTTGAAACCACTGGACAGCACAAACACAGTCTTCACACTGTTGTAGACAGCACTGTGTAGATTCTCTATACATGAAAGCCCAGGAATCCAGTCCCTCTCTTCCAAACAGAGACTAAATTTCCTGTTACCCAGGTTTTCCAGATTGGCAGTTAACTCGTTGTAGACCCAGTCCCTCACGGCCTTGTTGCTGGTGTCAAACACAACAAAAGCATCATAGTGGTACTGTGAATCAGTGCCTGCCAGCTGGGAGTAGCCTTTATATCCTGCCCAAAGCACCTGTAGGCAATACCACATATCCCAGCCATAGAGATGCTTCAGTAGGGGCAGAACAGTGAATGTCACAGCCAAGAAGGAACAAATGAGGAAGGCGAGGCTACCATATATGTCCTGGCAGGAGCGCTGGTCCACAGACAGTATGCTCTCCCCTTGTTTGGACTCTGGGAATTCACAGCGTACATATGTGGTGAGATAAGGAATCTCTACGGGAGTAGTACGCAAGAAGTCTGCAAACCAAGATGTGTCACAGTCACATTTAAAAATGTTGGCATGCAGGGTGAGTTTCTGAAGGGCACTACCATTTTTAAAGGGCGCAGGGAGATACTGTTGGTTCAACTCCTTGATGTTATTGTGGCTGATATACAGAAATTTCAAGGATTTTGCCTTTTTAAAGAAATTCTCAGGAATAGAACTAATGTGATTGTGACTGAGGTCCAAGAAAGAAAAATTGGCTCCAAATTCAATGACTATTTCAGGCAAATAAGAGAATTCATTTTCACTGAGGCTCAGGTAATATAAATTGCTAAGTACTGAGATGTTGTTCCATGGGAAGTAGTTCAGGTGATTTTTGTTGATGCTGAGGCCCCTAAGGCTTCCTGGGAGGTTACACAGCACTTCTGGTGAGATCGACTTCAGATCATTGCTGGAGATGTCCAAGTAGATGAGGTTGGTCAGGTTTTGGAAGAAATGAATGTACTTGTTGTTATCAGACTCCCACATGATGTTCAGCTGATTTCCATAGAAGTAGAGGTACTTCAAAGAGCTGCTGATCAGCCTTTGATCTATTCTCATCCCAATGCCATTGTTCGCCAGACTTAGGACTTCCAAGTTAGTCAGATTTTTAAGGAACTCAAAACGATGACCCATGCCCCTCATTTTAAAGTGAAACTCATTGTTACTAACATCCAGTACCTTCAGAGTGTTTTTAAGCTCACTGAAAGCATCTTCATAATAAAGATCAAGCCTATTGTAGGACAAATTTAAATAAACTAATTTTTTCATGTTATCAAACACCCCGCTTTTCAGTGCCTGGCTCATGTAATTGAAGGAAAGGTCTAAACAAACAGCATTCTCCATGCCTAGAAACACATCTTTTCTGAGAAAAAGAATATCATTTTGTGATAAGTCAAATGTTAATTTATTCCAACAGAAATGATTTCTAAAGTCCCATGGTGATGGAAATTGTGACACATTGTCCCCTAACATTTCCAGCACATCTGACTGGTTGGATTCCCTGATGTCACTTTCCAATGTGACTTCTTCATCTATTACAGTAACGGGTTGGTCACCAAAATTATCTGTATGCAAATCCTGGTTCTGACAGCTTCCCTGCAGTGTCATAATCTCAGATGGACTAGAGCAGCATGGAAGGAAATTTAGCAAGTTTTGGGAGAGGTCGATATCAATGAGAGATGGTAACTTTTTCAGAGCACTTAGGTTACATGTATTAATGAAGTTCATTCTCAGTTCTAGTTTCTTTAGATTTTTAAGGTTTGACAAAACAGTTAGGCTTTCTGTTGAAAGCCTGTGGAAAAAATTACCACTCAGAAGAAGATATTGTAAACCAGATATATTGCCAATATGTTGGGAGATGTTCAGTTCCTTAAGGGTTTTCAGTGGCTCATAGTTATAGATGAGGCTAATCCAAGTGAGGCCCTTTAGCTCTGAGAAGAAGGTGCCATTTTGTATAGTATATGCAAGGAGATTGTCAGAGAGGTCCAAGTATTTTAGATTCTTCAGTGGTGTAAAAAGGTTATCTGGAAAGGTTTTTAGAGAGTTTCCCCTCAAGCTTAGGGAGGTGATGGAGCTGTTCTCAGCAAAAAAAGAGTTAGCATGTAGTTTTAGTGGGAGTTTTTGTGGGCAAGGAAAGCAAGGCCTTGCTGCATGATCACAACGTTGACAATTCCACTCCAAATTCAACTCTTTGAGGACTGTTAGGTTGGCAAATGCTCCTTCTTCAATTTCGGTGATTGTATTCTCTCTTAAATCCAGACTCGTCAGTGAGGGTGGCAGTCCTTTAGGGACAGCTGTCAAATTATTATACCCTAAGGTAAGGTTGCTGAGATTAGGGAGCCCTCTGAAAACACTCTCACTTATGTAGAAGGACTGGTTGCAAGGGTTTGCATAAAAGCAGTTATTAGAGAGGACGAGCTTTTCAAGATGTGGTGTGTTTAAAGGGTGGATGATGTGGAAGATGCGGTTGTTACGCAGATCAAGAATTCTCAGGCTTTCAGGTAACCAGGGTATAGAGGTGAGACTGTTTCCTGACAAACTGAGCTCTCTAAGCTTCAATAGGCTCTTGAAGGCATAAGGGTCAATCTTCATTTTGCAAGCGAGCTCCTCCAGGTCCCTCAGTTTACCTGGTAAACAATTCCCCATCATTTCCAAAGTTTCAAGGTTTGGAACACCTGCAAAATCATGCTGCTCAACTTCTCGTATCTTAGTCCGAGATAAATTAAGTGTCACTACGGTGGTAGACTTGATTAAGGGCACGTTCTTGAGTGGTCTATTAGAGCAGTCTACTGAGGTGGTATTTTCATCGGTGTCACATGGGAAGAAGATGATATTTATGCTCCTTGCTGATATAAGAAGCTGACTAAAGATGAGGATATTTTTCAACAGAGCCTGAAAAAAGTAAAACAAATTTAATCAGTTGTTTGTTCATGGCTAAAATGTAATTTGAACACATCCTTTAATTTTATATAATATCAAGCATCACACAGTATACATTCAATCAATTTCACCCTATGCATCATATACCATAGTTAAACCAGCTTGAAACAACTGCTAATGAAAGCACTGGCTATTCTACAACTTTTCAATCAGCAAATGTCCTTATAACAACTATTTGAATGCATAAATAACAATTAAAGATTATATATTTTAAATAGTAGAATGTAATCTTACTTACCATAACGGATGTAACATGCATCTTAAAACTCACATCAGAAGCCAGCTGTAGCAAGTTTTAATCCAGGTGCAGACAGTTCAGTGCAGTGACAAGAAACTATCCTTCTATGCAGAAGTGAAAGCACTTTATTATATATACAGCAGCCTCATGCAAATCACATGCTCAAACACAAAATAATGAGGAACATCTTAATATGGATATGGTCTTGTGATTGCAAAAGACTTTACAAACAGTATTGTCCTCTAGGACAACCATGTCAGAATTTACTTTATAAAGAATTGCTGTCCTTAAAGGCAGCCAGATGAGGGGTTTTCCATTTGTGGGCACGGTTGAATGACTTCCTAAATTTAGCATGAATTCTAAACAAAGGTATAAGGAAGTATAATATGCAACTTAATCACCTGCTTCAAAACTCCTTTTCAATCTGAACAGAGGGCCATGCATGCACAGATTCATCCCACACTTGTAGTAGTTTCACAATCACTTTATTATGTTCACAGTTTAATGAAATCAACAATCCAAACTGTAATAGTGAGCAGAGAGAAGACTAATTATTAAATTATTTTCATTTGTTTATATAACCTCAATCACAACTTATGTACTGAAAAAGCCCTTTATTAGAGATTGCAAAAATGAACAGTATACAGTCCATAGAAAGGCAGAATCAAAACTGCCTGTATTCAAGTGCTGTGTTAAAAATAGTATTATTCATATTCACTTAGAATATCCCCATTCACTTAGAAATTATTGCGCAAAGACCCTAACCACAGATAGATTCCAAGTAAAGAACAGGTACACAAAGTTGTGTTCTGGCTGGAAAGAACATTCACTGCTTTGGCTTTGGACTGGACCTCACATTGCCTTCAGAACAGAAGCAGCATCTTGCCATCTTTCCTGGCAGAAAGAGCAGCATTAACACACTACTATGTATTTATTTGCCATCACAGACTTAAGTGTTGAATTATCCACAGAGCGATGTTCATAAAGCCATCAGACTCAGCATCCACACTGGAGAGAGAGTGGTTGTTCCCTGGGTACCACAGCAACCTAAACAACACACTTCAGAGCATTACAACCTTGTTATGCTGTACATATCTGTCATAACCAAAGAAACATGGTACTCAGACAAGCTGCTTACCGGACTGGGACCTGCTTTACTTTCAGAGCTTTGTAATATTCAATTCCTTGCTTGTTAGGTACACGCTTGTCATCTTCGCCTAAGGTAAGCAGCACTGGTGTCTGTACCTAGATGACAGATCACCTTAGAAAACTTTTATGTGTAATAACAATCAAGTCACACAAACACAGTCAAGACATGTAAAAATACTCATACCTTTGGGACGTGTTTAATGGGAGACTTGTTCAACATCTTTTCCCAGACCACAGGGTCAGGCAGACAATCTGTGCTGTAATCATAGCCAGCCTCAACTATGCACCTGAAGAAAAAAAAAAAAAAAAAAAAAAAAACGTAAACATCCACAGGAAGAAATCAAACACATACAGTGCCTTGCGAAAGTATTCGGCCCCCTTGAACTTTGCGACCTTTTGCCACATTTCAGGCTTCAAACATAAAGATATAAAACTGTAATTTTTTGTGAAGAATCAACAACAAGTGGGACACAATCATGAAGTGGAACGAAATTTATTGGATATGTCAAACTTTTTTAACAAATAAAAAACTGAAAAATTGGGCGTGCAAAATTATTCAACCCCCTTAAGTTAATACGTTGTAGCGCCACCTTTTGCTGCGATTACAGCTGTAAATCGCTTGGGGTATGTCTCTATCAGTTTTGCACATCGAGAGACTGAAATTTTTGCCCATGCCTCCTTGCAAAACAGCTCGAGCTCAGTGAGGTTGGATGGAGAGCGTTTGTGAACAGCAGTTTTCCACAGATTCTCGATTGGATTCAGGTCTGGACTTTGACTTGGCCATTCTAACACCTAGATATGTTTATTTGTGAACCATTCCATTGTAGATTTTGCTTTATGTTTTGAATCATTGTCTTGTTGGAAGACAAATCTCCGTCCCAGTCTCAGGTCTTTTGCAGACTCCATCAGGTTTCCTTCCAGAATGGTCCTGTATTTGGCTCCATCCATCTTCCCATCAAGTTTAACCATCTTCCCTGTCCCTGCTGAAGAAAAGCAGGCCCAAACAATGATGCTGCCACCACCATGTTTGACAATGGGGATGGTGTGTTCAGGGTGATGAGCTGTGCTGCTTTTACGCCAAACATAACGTTTTGCATTGTTGCCAAAAAGTTCGATTTTGGTTTCATCTGACCAGAGCACCTTCTTCCACATGTTTGGTGTGTCTCCCAGGTGGCTTGTGGCAAACTTTAAACAACACTTTTTATGGATATCTTTAAGAAATGGCTTTCTTCTTGCCACTCTTCCATAAAGGCCAGATTTGTGCAGTATACGACTGATTGTTGTCCTATGGACAGAGTCTCCCACCTCAGCTGTAGATCTCTGCAGTTCATCCAGAGTGATCATGGGCCTCTTGGCTGCATCTCTGATCAGTCTTCTCCTTGTATGAGCTGAAAGTTTAGAGGGACGGCCAGGTCTTGGTAGATTTGCAGTGGTCTGATACTCCTTCCATTTCAATATTATCGCTTGCACAGTGCTCCTTGGGATGTTTAAAGCTTGGGAAATCTTTTTGTATCCAAATCCGGCTTTAAACTTCTCCACAACAGTATCTCGGACCTGCCTGGTGTGTTCCTTGTTCTTCATGATGCTCTCTGCGCTTTAAACAGACCTCTGAGACTATCACAGTGCAGGTGCATTTATACGGAGACTTGATTACACACAGGTGGATTCTATTTATCATCATTAGTCATTTAGGTCAACATTGGATCATTCAGAGATCCTCACTGAACTTCTGGAGAGAGTTTGCTGCACTGAAAGTAAAGGGGCTGAATAATTTTGCACGCCCAATTATTCAGTTTTTTATTGCTTTGAGGTTTTTTGTTCCTGTAGTGTTTGCAGGAATTAATGAACCTTTCCTTCTCTGACAGTGAGGTACAGGCATGACCTTTACCCTGCTTGCTTTTTAAGAGAGTGGGACGTGATGGGTGCCAGCGAAAAACACTGCAGTTGTGAAGGTGTGCACAACTAACACAGTCATGAAATGGGTATACATACTGTATGTCAGCTAGCATATGGGAATGTGCATGCCAGTGCATACCAGTCTGGGATGTCTGTGCTGCCAATCATGGAGGCCAAATTGATGACAGGGTTGCGAGCCACACAGGCCTTGTAGAAGCCTGGGTACTGTCCAATCAGATGACAGGCCAGAAAACCACCATGAGAGCCCCCGGACACTGCCACCTTCTGCATGTCGAACTCATCATCTTTCAGAATACTTTCAACAGCAAACTGGTAGGAAGACAACAAGCAAAATGAAACTGTTTCCCCAGTGATAAATACCTTCTTTCATCCCCCCATTAACTTCTTGTCCAGTATTTACAGCCTTAAGACATCTTCTTAGCAATATATTGAAGATTTCAGAAAGAATGATAGAGGCCCAACTTATTACAACCTCTGAGGAAGAGAAGGAAACAGATACAGGTCTACCAAACAAACAAACAAAAAAAAATTGCAACAGTCCCATACGATATAAATGACTCATTCACTTTTAAGCCTTATAAACCCACACAGAAAATACTAAATCAGAAGTTGGGGGAATGTAAGGAATAAAAATACTGCTGTTATAAGGCATGATTTAAACAAAAACTATAGCGACTAACATCAGCCATATATAGAAAACAATGGACTGACTCAACAGTACAAACAACATCACCATAAAGCAGCAATGGAAGTCATTTTACCAGCAGGAGCAAAGGATACTTTGAGCTACATCAATGTCATGACTTGAAAAACTTAATAGAAAGTCACTTTCGTCTTTTCCTGTTTAGGGGTCGCCACAGCGAATCGTCACACTGACGACTCGCATGTTGACATTTGGCACGTGTTTTACGCCAGATGCCTTTCCTGACGCAACCCTGATTCGAACCCGGGGCGCAGTGGCGAGAGCGCTGCGCCTTAACCACTTGAAAAACTTAGCATTATTTTAAACAGCCTTTATTACTTTTTTGTTCTTACTTGAACATCTTTGACATCCTGGTTGCCAACATTCCCAGGTAATGAGAGGATACTGTCCTGGCCGTACCCAAGAGAGCCACGATAGTTCACTGAAAATGATAAAAACAGACAAAAAATAAATAAATAACACCTCACACATGACCATCTGTGAATCAGTGCTAGATATGATGCATTCTAAGTCAGATAAACTGACACCACCCCAGGAAATTAGCAAATTGAGCCTGAGAGCAGAAGGCTGGTGACTCACACCTGAGACCAACTGAAAAAACCTGTGCAAAAAATGTGAGCAAAGTGGCCTCAATGACCACCACCTTGGGCAGAGTTCTGCTCAGAAGTCAACAATAGACATACTGGACAGCTGCAACCTCCCCAGTGAAACACCTTAAACTATTAAAACAAACAAGTAAAACTATGGCTCAGGAAAATGTATTATTTTGCATAGGATAGATGACTCTACACATACAGGCCACAGAATAGCAAGTACGCTCTCATGATTCATGAAAACTAGGCTAAAAGTTTCAAGTGGACACACTCAGTCATTAACTGGTCATTAGACAGGACACATTTTCACTAAAAGTAATTTCTCACAGGCAACACCATTTTGTGACTCGTAATGCCTGTGAGCAACATATTCCTGAAGTACAAGAGGGCACTTTAAATGTGCACAAGCTAGGAAGGAATAAGTATCTTGAAGCGGCAAATAAAAGCTGTAGTAAATACTTTTACTAGTCTTAAACCATGACAACGTTATCAAACTACATCAGACTACAAGAATGGGAGCCTTGATCCTCACCTTTTACAACTCTATTAAGGTGTAACTGTCCTCTGAGCAGGTTTCACACATACAGTAACTTCACTTCATGTTCACATATGAACTTACCCAGTAATAGAGCAAAGCCCATCTTGCACAGAACAGAGGAAGGCAGAAGCCACTCAGCTACAATCACCGAATGAGGACCCCCTAATGAAAGAAACAAGCCTTGTGTAATACAACTTGACAGTTTCCATTAAAAGCTATTAGTCTTTTTGACCTCAGTACTGTGAGGCATACATGTCAGAAACTATGGTGCACTTTAAATCAAAGTATGTGAACATATTACACGACTATGAGCTGTGCTGCAAAGGACTATTTCTGGTTTTGAGAATATGATTAAACATTAAAGGCACAGTTGTCATAGAAAGCACTGTTTCCAATGCCAATCTTATCAGCAGCGGCACCTCTTGGCTGAACAGACATAAATCCCAACAGACTCAATCTAAAGAATAAATTCAGCATGGATTAACAGCACATTAATTCCAAAAGTAAACATAATGTTTAGAATATTTAAAACAAAGCTGATTTTTTTTTTTACATGAAGTTGATACTGTACAGCCATAAACATTTAACACTACATGTTTATTTTGTTTGCACTAGAAAACAAATAACTGCAATAAAATAATATTAAAAGTAACCAACCATGAGGAGCAACAATAAGAGGCAGCTTCACTCCAGCCTTCACCTCCTTTGGTTTGATCAACAAAGCTTCAAAATCAAGGCCAGCTAGAATAAAGAAATATGTGTTAGTGACATGAAATGACACTATTCTTCAACCCTCCATTAACTTGGGGATCCAAATATTCTAACTATTTATATTACCATGTCATGTATTATTATTGTGCACAAACCCGGACATTCTAAAAACATCTGTTACACCCAGTGGTTACTGATCTATTTTTAGCCTTAGTGTATTACTTATAAAGCCACGCGCCGGTTAACAAAATGAACAAATGGTTCTTTTGCTAGAATTCTTGTTTTGGATAACATTAAAAAAGGTTGTTTATTCTTACGGTATTGACTGTTGTCTTGCTCTGGGGGAGGGGTGAAAGTCAAGATCTTCCAATCGATATCTGGCAATGTCTGACAGTCCTCCAAAGTAACCCATACCACTTCCTCCTCAGAATCCCTGGCCGGAAGGAAACCCACCCTCTGGACGCAGAAATTATATTGGACTAGGTGACACAACAGCTTCTCAATCACTTCAGCTTTTATTTTTGCAGTAGTGAGTATGCCAAAAGCTCTAGTAAAACAACAGCACTTTTAGTAAATACCAGTACTATACATCAAAAAGGAAAACTATTCTCAAAGAAAATGCTGATCCTACCAAACTTGGAGGGCAGTTTGGAGAAGAGCAGCTGACCACCATCAGATCTCTCTTTATGTTTAGCAGACACCAGTTACCAACATTAGACTCTGCAGACAAACAAAAAACATCATTAGACACAGGTTGAAATCAACACGGTCGAGCAGTCCTAGAGCACTGCTATGGTGAGCCAGGCAGAGACTGCCAACCTCAAACATCAATAAATAAGACTTCTAGGCCCGAGTGTGGGTCACGGCAAGGCTGATAAATGTGTCTAGTGACTCACTTGAAGTCAGAGAGCTGACACACCCTGTGCTTATATCCACCATCAACAGATCCTGCAAATGAGACCGATACAGCTTTTACCATGTGCAGCATAATTACAGTATTCTCAGGCTAGCTACCAAGTGCAAAATCTAACTTTATAAGAAAGATACCTAGACTTTCTCTTAATGTTTGTTATACTAACAAGCAATTTCCATATGTTGACTGTACCTTACGGCTGCGCTGAGGGCAAGCAATGATTATACGCTGACTATCAGCTGACCAGCATTGAGGGGACAACTGATAGCTGTAGATACCAGTAAAGCCATCTGTAAAGCCACACAATGCACACAAACACAATGAAGTTTGGTTACTAACTAAATAAATAAATAAATAAAAAGACAGCACTCATGTGACTACCAAGTATTTCTTACCTTCTCCAGGTCGCTTCACCACATCCACCACCACTGAGGTCTTCTTAGTGTACCAGTCATACTAGAGATAAAATATGGAAGCACAGAGAAAACATGAAAACACGTATTTATTCACTCCAGTGTATTTTTGCTTCAACAAATGGGAATGCCCAAAGAACACAAAACTACAAGTTGGTGCACTGTGTGCCAAGACATTAAGTTAATTTATGCTTGTCAGTGAAGACAATACACTTTATAAAGTAGGGAAATTTGTCTTGTGTGGAAAAGAGGTTTCATCCTCTCTCACCATACAGAGCTTGCTGCAGTGCTGGTGTGGTCCATAGACAGAACATTCCAGATAGACAATTCGACACTGGTCTGGGCTCAGCCTGGGGGAGCACACTGCACTGGTGCCTGATGACAACTGCTCTGAAGAACACAACAAACAAATACACATGAACATATGCAACCTTGTGCGGCTGTTCCAACTATACACTAGACTAGCCGTCTGGTAGCAAATTGAGGAATTCAGTTGTGTTAAAGCATGGTGTGAACATTTGTGATATCATGTTGCACCATGTTTTTAATAATGCTGAAGATGAAGAAGTTAAACCAGGACAATGTGATAGTGTCAGTAGCTCATTACAGATTAAAAAGTACAAAGCTTGGTGTGAAATGCCTCAATGCAAGATGGACGCTGACCATCACACCTTAATTTGTCTGGATCCTGTTTATCATATTATAGACCTAAATTACAGAAGGAACAAACCTTCACTTACCACATTCTCCACCAGTAAGATCCACATAGAACAAAGATGACCTGAAAGAGAAAAGACAAACATTAGTGACCTGCAGTATCAGCCTATGAGCCTTAGGACGTATTTCAGTTTTCTCTGATCAGTGTAAATGGTTATCACCTCCTGTTGGGGCAGTACTTAAGGCCAAGCCTGAAAGGCTCATGCCACCAGCCTACAAACACCACACCTGTGTCACCTGGAGCCCAAAATGCCTTCAGAGACAGAGTTACAGCGAGAACAAAAGAGAACAACAGTATGACAGCAATAGAAGTGCACAAATAATAAAATAAAACTATTTATCATTGTACAAGCTGTAGTACCTACCTGTCCAGGTGAGATATCTTCAGGCACTCCTTCCAACACAGAGACGTTGTCGCCCTCTACATCCAAAACACATAGCACTGGACAGCTCTTACCAACTAGTGCCTCTCCCCAGTCCTCGTAGAAGACAAACTGCTCCCCCTTCGGGAACACAAAAGCAAAAACACTACAAATCAAGCTACAGAGGATTGCAATGTAAATGATAGAATTATATCTGAGAATAGAAAAAAAAAATTGCATTTCAAAAATGAATTACTTTCACAGCCTCCTTTTTCTCCACTCTTATGGTCTCGTCTTCATCCCCAATAGAAGACAACTCTTGTGACTGAGTCTACAAACAGAAAATTAGACAAAAAATAATGAATGATTACCTGCTGTATTAGTCATTTACTTTTGATTATAGCTATCCTATCTACCTTTGGTAAAAGGTGAATCAACACTAAATCCCATGTAGGGCAGAAAATATGCTTCACTTCTCTTATGAACACATTCCAGTCAATGATGTTATCACATTTTGCTTGTGCATTCAAAACAAAACCATTTGTTAACCACACTAGTTTGCAATATGTGTGTGTGTGTGTGTCTAAATCTGTTGTTGCCATTAGTCTACCACCAAGATAGGTTTGCATCACCAATCATGTACTTTATGTAAAGCTTCCTTTTCAAATTTCAAACAATTCCTTACAGAGGACTATAGAATAGTGGGCAACTTGGACCAACACTGTACAACAAGGCAAACAATGCACCACGTATCTCGTTAAAAAAGTTTGCTATGCTCTGGGCAGTACTGAATATAACCCTTGCACTGACATCAAGAAGAATCGACGGTTTTAGTGCTGATTTAATCTCAAAGCCAGTTTGCTGACAGACCTGAAAGAAGGACTCTGTCTTGGGTCTCTTTCTCTCTGCCACATACAAGAGGTGGGTTTCAGAGTGGGACCAAACCAAGCAGCCAAACTGATCTAAGGGTGCAAAATACAGTGATTAGCACCTGTAGTAGTAGAAGTAAAATACAAAGTTTCAAAGAAATTGCTCAACTCACCATCATCATAGACTTTTCCATGCTTATTTAAAGCTGTTAGATTGATGCTCTTCATCTTGATGTTTTTACTCCAGATCTGAAAGGTCAGAAAGATGCCAGGACAAGAGAAAAATTCAAGATTTTATGAAGTTTTAAATAGAGCCAACGGCTGCACAGAGTTACAGATAAGCACCATACAGGGGGGTAATAAAAGAATAAAAAGGAATAACGACTTTATGCAGGGCCAATGACAGACTCCATGCTGCATCTGAGAGAGACAAACAGCCACACACCTCCAGGAACTGTTTGTCCTCTCCTTTGATTGTGCAAACTCTGACAACAGCCTTCATTTCACCCGAAGGGGAATCCTTACTAAGCACCCTGGAGGGAAAAACACACTGATGAGACACTGTTCACGACTTGCTCAAGGTCAGGTTTATGAGAATTTGATGAACCTCACTCCAAACAAAATGTTTACATACTCTCCTTTGATCTCAGTGCAGTTTCCTGAGGCCCCAGAGTAGACCACTGACTTATCATCATGGAATACAATGTACTGCCTACAAAACTTGACATTCTCATTCCTTTCCAGATCACACTGGCTCCATTCTACAAATAAAGGTCAACATAATGATATCAATTTCAGTGAACCTATATCGATCATGAACATTTCAGTATGGCATAGATTAAAGGTGTACCTGTGTAAATGTTGCTGTATTTGCCTCCATACTGAGAAGTAATGACAGGTCCTACATCTGCTCTACTCAGAGAAGGGAAGAGACTGAGTTCCTTGTAGAGCCTGGTAATCTCCTGAGGGTTGGTCATCACCTTACAACACGCAACAGAATAATTCGCATTACGTGTACGTGTGATGCAAACGGCCTCACAACGAACAATGCCTTGTTTCCTAGCTAGTAAGATAGCTACCTGCATGTACCATATTATTTAAGCAGTTTACCAACAAAGCTAGATATCAGTTGATAAACATTTGCCTATTATGTTATGCAAACCAATAAAACAAGCAAGCAAGTGAACAAAATTAGTTAACCTGTTTATAGACATGTTTGACTGATTTAATTTGACCAGGAACTTCTTGTAGCTGCTGACAGAAATCTACTGAACCAGTGCCGTCAGCTAACATTAGCTTCATTTTAAAACTGGATAACATTAAGTCAAAATACAGACAGCATAATGGACGCTAATTAGCTGCACCTATGTTGCACAACAAGGTTTTATCTTGATAGGGTATGTCGTTTGTTCGAAAGCACAAAATAAATAGCATTGGTCAGTTAATAATCTTACCTGTGACTCCATATTGACAACAGTGTGTAACACTAGTCTGCAAATCTCATAACGACGAAAGTACAATGGGTGTTCCTTCTTCTTCTTCTTCTTCTTCTTCTTCTTCTTCTTTTTCGGTACGGCAGTCTTGACGCAGCAAAGGCGTATTACTGCCCTCCTGAGTTTGAACATTATCATGATCATGTTAATGGATGTATAAAGATAGCACAAAACGAAATCAAATGCAGCTTCATGTTGCAAATAGAAAAATAAAATTTTGATTAAATAAAATCCCCGATTAACAGTTTGCGGTTTCTTCTTCTGGTTTAATGTACCAAAACACTGGAACTTACGAATAAGTCGGATACAAATCACATTCAGTAATATATAATTAGTGCCAGACGACTTGGAACATTGTCCACCAAATAAAACGGTTTATCCGTAGTATTTATGCAGCGAGATGCCTTTATTTTGGAGGCAGATGGCGCTTGCCCCCAACTCTTGTAACACTCAACATGAAGAAGTTCACAAATAAAACAGCCTACACCGCCCTCTTGTGTTGTATTCGTAACCTGTAGGTTATTTTACTGTGGTCTTATTTATAGTTATTTGTTTCAGAGTGTGGCATTTTCTGTCGAAAAACATGAATACATATTATTTTACAATGCATATTTCAAAAATGATTTTGATGCTAGTATTAGTCAGTTACCTGTGTGAATGACAGCCACCGTGCTGGTTCTGTCAGTCAGCTGGGTAGGTGGGGTCACAAAGCGCCAAGATGGCTGACTTTGAGGAGCCGCTGTCAGACGAAGAGAAGGTTGGAAAGAGTATTTTAATGCTTTGCACAGTGCCTTGTTTTCTTTTTTTGAAAAGAGTTGACCGTGTTACCGAGTGAACGGAATTAACGGTCAAGTTTTAGAAAGAAAATGTTAGGTTTTCGTCACGCATCAAAATGATAAACTTGCATTTTTGAGCTACCAGTAGCTGACTAGCCAATGCTAGTTAAAGCTTATAGTTAGTTGGCTAGCGGCTAAATCAAATGCTAATAGAGGCATTTAACTTCTAGACATTTGTGCTGAAAACTTTGTATTAGTTGTAAATAGATCATTGAGAACAATCAAGCCTTTGTCCAAAAGTCGTGTTGCAATGTCCCTGCTAGTCTGCAGTTATTAACGTTACATTATGGGCTACGTATTCCTCTCATACAGCATTAGCTAACATTAGTGGCTAACGTTAGTATGAGTTGACTTTCTGGGTCAAACAGATTCAGTTGCAGCATAAATACTTCTCAGCCTCACATGGCTTGACATCAGGAAATGGGTGCCAGTCGTTTAGATGGAGCCTGAGAGTGATACCATCCGCAATACTAATGGCATCTTGGCTTATTACCAGTTGTAAGCAAAGCCTAAATTATTATGAATGGCATATTTTGCATGCCCAAGCCCCGAATAAGATACATACAGGTGATTAATGAATTTTCTGCTGTACCCTTCAAGACAACTATCTGAATACAGACAAGGCGGGTTCAAAGCTAGAAACAAGAGTGGTGACATTCTCCTGATAACATTAAGAAACATTTAAGATTATAGGTCTGTTCAGGGTCAACTGGTAAACTGAGGGCATGAGTTTATAGACATGACACACAATGGAGATGAGCTGTTTCTAATGCAGAAATATGCCAGTTACACTCCCTAAAGGTCATTGTCACTTAACGTTAGTGAAACTTAATTTGTGTAGTCGATTTTGTTTTTACTTTCTTAAAAATTGTGAATCTATAGTCATTCCTGTTTTAAAAGATGTAAACCAAAACTAAATAAGCCGATTTTGTGATAGAAGCAGAAAAAAGAGAGAAAGATTTGTCGCAAAAGTAAAAGTACATTTTTAATATTAGCTGTGACAGTAAGATAAGGCCGCATCTGGATGTTAAACACGTACCAAAGAAGTAGTACATTTTTAATTTAATTTTGACTACAGATATGTTTTATCTAATGAACAATGAAAATCATATTATTTAGGCACTGTCTTTCTACTGATTGTGTGGAAAGTCATATTATTATGATGCTTGAGTTGATTGAGTCCATTTAATTTGCTTCCATAGGTTCGCATAGCAGCCAATTTTGTAACTCATGCCCCTCCGGGAGAGTTCAATGAGGTTTTTAATGGTAAGCAGCTGTGGAAAGATGTCTATGATAATAAAATTACATTTAATCTAATATAAACTGCCTAGTTTTAGTGTTTTGTCTTCTAAGAGCACTATACAAACAGTGGTTTTCTTTTGTTTTGCCAGATGTGCGGCTTCTTCTTAACAATGACAACCTCCTTAGGGAGGGTGCTTCACAGTAAGTAACACGGAATTATGACTGAAGTAAGAAATTAAAATATTCAAAGTTGAAAACACCAGAGTCTCCATATGGGGAGATACATTTACGAATTGAAGTATGTGTTTTTAGTTAGGCACTGAGTAATACAAGCATGCTCAGTGTTTTTGTACATTTGTTGAAAGCTTTTTGATGTGATGTAACGAATGCCTGCTGTACCTGTGTCCACTGTACTTGTCCAGCTCCTTTGCCCAGTACAACATGGATCAGTTTACTCCTGCCAAACTAGAGGGCTACGATGAGCCGGTATGTTTGATACTTAAGTCTTTCCCATTTATTTCAGAAGAGCAGGTGTTTTTCAATTTCTCTCTCTTCTTTGTAGGTCCTGATCACAGAGCATGGTGACTTGGGTCAGGGGCGTTTCCTGGACCCCCGCAACCATTTATCGTTCCGCTTTGACCACCTAAGAAAAGAGGTGAGCGATGTGCAGCAATATGAGGGAGAGACGGCCTTGAGAAGCTGGCGAGATGCCTGTGATGCAGCCCTTAGTGCCTACGTCAAAGAGCACTACCCCACTGGAGTATGCACAGTAAGGCACAAAAATTATGATAAATCCAGTAATATCAAAGCAATATAGACTATTTTACCTATATTCATACCTATGTTATGTGTGTGTTGCAGGTATATGGGAAAACAGTTGATGGTCAGCAAACTATCATAGCCTGCATTGAGGGACATCAGTTTCAACCCAAAAACTTCTGGTATAATGATCTCTCTGCAAACAGCTGGTTATAAGCATATCTACATATGTGTATTTGATAGAATACATTGCTAAAACGTATAACATGGGCTTTATCACAAAGGCTTTGTTTATGTTTTTGTTGTTGTTGTTGTTGTTTTTTACATGTGGTGAAAAGTAAAATAATTGGTCTCTTTGTTCTGTTAAGGATCTTGGTGCTTGTGTCTGATTGTAGCATAGGACTTGACTTAATTTCTCTATAATACAGGAATGGTCGCTGTAGATCAGAGTGGAAGCTCACCATTGGCCAGTCCACTGCTCAGGTGGTAGGAGTGTTGAAAATTCAGGTAAATTAAATTCAAAGTGCTCATCTGCATTAATAATGGCCAATCAAAGAAGAATATGTATTTAAAAAATATGCAAAATACTGTAGCAGATTACTAATGAAATTCTTCTTTGTTATCAGGTGCACTATTATGAAGATGGGAATGTGCAGCTGGTTAGTCATAAGGAGGTAGAAGAATCAATACCAGTGACTGTAAGTATAGATTTAATACATAAATACAAACATACTTGACCAGTTTCTCAACACTGATTTAGCATATTTTACTAAAATAGTACTGAACTGGATTTGTGAGCTCCAGGTACAAACAAGAGGAGGCTAACCAAGATGGATGATCTCTGTTAGCAGGATAAAAGGTGATGACTGTATTTTTGTTTTTGAAACAGAATGAAAACCAGACAGCCAAGGAATTTGTTGATATCATTGAGAATGCAGAAAATGACTACCAGGTAAACTATCTTTTGTTGACTTCACATTTTATAGATTATTGTTTAAAGTGACAAGTTTTTCTTTTATTGAAGCAAGCAAACATTTAAAGTAAATGTAAAAATAGTATAAATGAAACTTGTTCCTTTCCATTTTTTGCCCTCAGACTGCAATCAGTGAGAACTACCAGACCATGTCTGACACCACCTTTAAGGCCCTGCGTCGCCAGTTGCCTGTCACACGCACCAAGATCGACTGGAATAAGATTCTAAGTTACAAAATTGGCAAGGAGATGCAGAATGCCTAGTGGAAGGTCAGGGACTGACCAGAGAGACACAAGGACTAACCAAAGCAAAACTATAACAGTATGGGGCAAGGAAAAAAATGAAAAAAAAAATAAATAAAAGTGATTGCAGATTGACTGAGGACTTACAGGCTGTTAAGCACAAATATCAGTCTGCTGTATGAAAGTTGCAGTTATGGAGATAATCATGGTTTGGAGAAACTGGTTACTTCTGCGTGTATGTCATGAAAGAGTTGTGTTGGGTCACCGTGCAGGGCTGTGCTCAGGACTGCTACAGTAAAGAAGTAAATCTTTCTTCAGTCAACTATGGACTTTTCTAGATTCAGGTTTCAGAAGTTACAGTATCTTGTTTTCTTCGTCAGACTGATGCAGAACTGTGATGGAGATGTCAAGAACCAGGACTGCCGGGAAGCTGAAGTGAAGCACACTATCACATATCAGTTTTTTTTCTTCTTTGTGGTTGTCATGTATGGTGAACTTGGAAGTCAGGTGCATCAGCAAGATCACACCCTTCACAGGAAAATGAATAGCACTCAGCTGACATTTTAATGGCACCAAATGCACAGTATTGCTAACTGACATGGCCCTTAGTCAGACATTGCTAATGAAACTGACAATATTTCTACCTGTTGTTAACATGTAGCATGATCCTCAGCACAGCTCTTTTCCTGCACTGCACACCTGTATGTTTGTCTGTGTCTGTCAGGGCTGAGAGAAGGTCTGTTTGTTCTCTGCTGTGTTCCACGGATTTGACTTCACCCATGTACGCTACAGTGACTGAAATAAAATGAAACAAGTACTACGCTGCTACATCCATAATGTATTCTGTGTTCTCTAACTTTGGCATCACCACCTTCATTGCTGTACAGCGTTTCCTTTGTGAAAGGAAATACTCATATTAACCAAGATTTACCAAAATCTCTTTCCTATGGTAAAGAACTCGATCCTCCCACCCATGTATGCAAATTTCAATTTTGATGTGCTGGTTTTTGTCGGAGTCTTAGATTATTGCATTCTTGTCTGTAATTTTATGTATTGGTCAATGCCAAGCAAACGCAAAGCAGTTGCCATGTAAGGCAAGATCATATACTGTAGTTACGTGACTTCTGTAAGGCCACATCATAATGTGTTACATGACTTCTAAACAGGCTGATTCTGGATCAGTTACTTGTTAGACTATGTGCTGTGTTCAGTTCTCACCCTATACTACAACTATGTGCCCATCATTTATAAACTTCACGACTGTACTGCCCCATTCTGTCGTACAAATAAATGGATTGAAATGGATCTTGGCTAGATTGTTACATTACTTTTGTGCTGTCACGTACAAATCCTTGCACAGCCCAGCACAGTTCAGAAGATTGCCACCTGAAACTGTTTTTCTATTAAAACTGACCCATTAAGCTTTAGGGCATGAGTAATTTATTTAAAATAGCACTAGATGTTGCAGGTGTTCATAATATGCATTTTTACAAAAGACAGCTGAAGGATATGGTCCCTCACAGAAGGTGTATAAATGCACAGATTTAAAGTGGCTGGAAGAACTCTTTCAATTAGTTCTCAGTTTTAAAGGTAGAAAACATTAAAACGGTATGTCTAACATATGTGTAGGACTAGCACAAGACAGTACTGTAAATCATTTTATAAGATACTATAGAAAAAGGTTACAGTAGCAAAATTCAAACATTTAGTTATGGTCACTGATAATATCCCAAGTTGTCATATAATCATGACAGAGAGTCCTTGGTTTGGGTGAAGCAGAAATAAACCTTCCCTGAACAAAAAGTGAAGTTAAAAGTGAAGTTCTAGATATACAGTATCTTAAAGTAATTTAGTGCAAAGTGTGCTTTCCCTTTTCAAGATAAGATTCAGTGTATTCGTAAAACAACATGCATGTAATGTTCATTCATAGACTCAGCAGTGAACTATTTCCAATACAATTTTTTCATGGACAATCTCAACAGGAACTGCATAAGAAATACTGGGGAAAACTTACAGTAAGAAACCTTTAGCCCTTCTATTTGCCATACAGTTTTGCCTCTGACTAAAGTCTTCTAACAGTTCTGGCAGTTTGAGCATGAAGAGAAGAAAAGGAGTGCTGCATTATAAAAACAGTGATGTTACTTTTTTTAAAATCAAGAAGTCTTTAGTCTGTTTATATATGGTTCCTCAACATCCTATAGGGTTAAAGTGGTAAGTAATAGAGATAAATATTTTCATTCTAAAAATGTATTACTCACAAAAGTGATATAAAGAAATAAAGACAGGAAAGTTAATATAAGAAATATAAACTCAAATAAAAGAATCCATAATAAAAATCCAATAAAAGAATCCATAATATACAATATTTTATTTCAAACATTTCTTTTTCGATTGTTTCTCAGGTTGGGGTATAGAGGTAGGGGTGCAACAAACTCCTAATTTCATCAGTTTGAACCGGGCCAGCTTTGAAGTGTCTTCTGATTATGGGTACTCTGAAGTGGGTTCAAGGGCCGGCAGAGATGATATTACACTAAGTGCTGATTTAGACCTAACTCTTAGCAGTTAGTTTGCATGATCTGGCTATTAGCTGCTAGAAGATAAAAGCAGGTCTGGTTCCTTGGCTCCCTCCTGCCCACAGTTCCCTGTTAGCTCTGGGAAAAGGCTGGGGCAGGCAGAGTGACTTGGGGAGCCTGGAGCTGGACTCATGCCAGGCTTCTTGGGAGGTGTTGGAGGATGATGAATCCGCTCTGAGCGTGGGGTAAGGGGGGAACGGATGCCTGGAGATAGGGGCCCTGAAGAAGGAGACCTCGCCCCTGGAGGAGATGCTGCTTTATTGCGGTAGTCTGTACCAAATGGAGAGCTGCTGATCGGTGCCAGCTTGACTCCAGCGTGCTGGCTGGTGAAGCGGGACAGCACCTGAGTGACAGTGTTGCGGGCCAGCTGCTTAGCTGGGCTGTGCTCTGGTGGAGTAGGCATGCAGCAGGTGGTGGGCGAGAGGTCCCTGGGGGACAGAGGGCCTCCATGCTGCTGCTGCTCCAGCTCAGCCTGGCTCTGGAACTTGTGCCTGGCAGCCTGGAATCTCTGGTTGACTCCAGCCTGGTAGGATGACTGATGGAAGCCTGGGCTGCCCAGACGCTTGACAGGACTAGGGGAGGAAATGGGGGAAGAGGAGAGAGAAGAGGAGGCTGTGCTGGATGGGGAGGGAGGATGATGGTGAGGATGATGGTGAAGAGGGGAATGCAAAGGTGCTCCTCCCCCATTCTCCACCACACCTCCATTTTCTGTTCCTCTCCCTTCCCCTGTCAGTTCTGTGTCTTTATGAGTGTACTGGCCATTGACCTTTGACACTGAGGTTGGTTTAGGAGGGACATTTACTTTTCCATCTGGCTCAGTCTGAGCAGAGGTCGAAACCATTTTGTCCTTGGAAAATGACTCCTTGACTTCTGTCACAGGCTCCTTTTCTGCTTCTTTACATCCTTCAGGCTGAGCCAACCTCTTTCTCAGCTCTTCCACCTGCTTCTCAAGCTCACTACTCCTCCCCTCCTCTTTGCTGATCCTGGCTTTCATCTGCTTTCTTTCTGTGTCAAACTCAGCCAGCTGGCTCTCAGATCTGGCCTCTAGATGGGCTGCCTTGCTCTTCTCATTTTCAAGGAGCCCCCGGAGCTTTTCCAGGGAACTGGTTTCTTCTTGGAGCAAGGTACGAAGTTGGGAGACCTTCTGAGCCTCCTCCTGAACCTGGCTGCTGGCTTTTTGGAGCTCTAGAGTCAGAGATGATGAGAGCTGCTGCTGCTGGGACGCTGACTCCTCCATCTTGCTCACTGCCTCTGCTCGCTCCTTCTCTAACCTCTTCACCGTTGCACGTTCAACTTCCAACTAGAAAAGAAAGAGTGGTAAAAGCAACGCAGTTGTTCCAAATCTGACCACAGGGAGGCAAAAGAGCACTGCTCTGTTACACTAGATCCAACACAGGATGAAAAACATGCCCCTTTTTTGAAAATTGTTTCTGAAAAGTTGTTGTTAGAATAAAACTTCCGGATCTTTATGTTGTACTATACCCACTACAACTGTACAGTATATCTGAGTTGGTAGTAAATTATATCTTGTTATAAATGTTAATGGATGTCAGTGTTATTTTATACCTACTCTAAAAATACATATCTTATCTTTATCATTTAACTATTATATGCCAGCTGATAACATTCATAATGTCATTCATATAACAAATTTGAATGATGCAGAATCTGGAAAGGGGATGAAGTCCAGTGTGTGTCGCTTCCGTCACATGAAACAGAGGGAGAATTGTTCATATTCCTCTTTGTTAAAGAATATTTGCTTGCAAGGCATTTTTATGGAAAGTTCAATTTGCATCAAAGGCTTTGATGAGTCACAGAGGGAAATGGGAGGTGGTGAAATACAATCTAGTTTATATTAGTGTACAAAAACAACATGGCAGGAAAGCCTCAGGAAGATTGGGAGACACTCAGGAACCATTTGTTACATAAGAACCTTGTGTGAAGTTTGTGTAACGGCTGACTGTGTGCTCACAGTGTGTGTGTATGAGCTGACCTTGCGTTAGACATTGATATCCATTATTTCAGGCTTCCTGAGGCCATAAAGCCCCATGGCTGCTTCATAACTAAACAATGGCCTCTTCCTCCTCTGTTTCCCTTGGAACAGCCCTGTGATTGTGCAGACGGGTACCTGTGTGTCTGTAATCTAACAGGCCAAGCCATCCCCACCCTATTGACTTACACAATGGAGCTGTCCTCATACTTCCCTGTTCAGTCACTGGGCTTTAAATCACCACCACATTATGAATCAATGTGCAGACAAAGTAGAGGAAAGGCAGAGGAGTGAAAGGAGGCAAAGGAAAGCAGAAGAATCTCTCCCAACACATGTGGTCACCTGTCAGCATGTGAGAACCACTTTTTGATGACTTTACTGTTTTTACCAAACATAGACACAAACAAGATGTACAACTGCACATATGCATCAGTCACACCTGTTGTAGAAGTTTGCTTCTTTCTGTTTGCAGCATCAAGGTGAAATCGTCGGACTGTGCAGAGTCCTGGGCATGCCGTCGTTTCTCCTCTTCCAGATCAGCTATTATCTATCAAACATAAAGCCAAAAGAAACAGTTACTATATGAGATGACATGAAGATAGACTTGACATCATTCTCAGAGTAGCAAATCACATTTCTTTGACTTAGTCTTCTTGTAAGAAGTTTCCTGCCTCACAGAAACTTGACTAATCAGACTGCATATCAGGACCTCCTCTTCAGCGCAGGGGTTTCTCAGTTTAATCAACTCTCACAGGTTGACTCACAAACAGTCTATAGGTGGAGTGTCCATAAATCTGCTGTGATAAAGCTCCCTATCACCTTTCTAAGACCTGGGTGCAGCTGCTTTCTGTATGCCTCTCTCCCCCTTAAACAAGTCTACAGTGTCTGACATATGGAGACATTCATGTACACATTAAGACACCTAATAAGTCTACTGTACAAGTGCAAGCCCCTTGTGTGACACTGGTACCTGGTTGGTTGCAACACTGTCCCTACACTCAATTCTTGTATCCAGATGGGAAAACTGGAGAACTCACTAAATGTGTGAGAGTGTGTGTTCATGCCTCTTACCCTTCTGTGTCGGCTCTCAGCAGCAGCCAGCTGCCCCATCATCCTCTCCTGCATCCTCTTGCAGTGAGCCATGACCAGTTTAAGCACAGCCAGAGGGTTTGGGCCCACTGCACGGCCATGCGTTTGTGTGTGAGGCTGGGGGAGTGTGTTCTCCACAACTTCACTGTCACGCTGCAAGGCCAGGAATGGATCGCTGAGGTCATACTGACTGTAGCGCTCCTGAACAAAAGCATCTCTGTGCTGAGCCTAATATGTACAAACAAACATACAGCACACGCATGAAACCATGATTATGTTAATATGCTGATCCTTAATCTGAAAAGCAATTGCTCTTTCCAAGAGAGGCTGAAAAATCTCTTTTATGAAATGGTGAAGCACATAAACACATGCATATACAGTACATATCTGTAGCTCAGCAGGCAACCTAGTGGCAATGAGGCAGCAGGTGTTAAATTAAATCAAGCCACGACCTGTGCATGTCCCCATGCATGTGGCCTAAAATAAGTAAGCATAAACATTCATATACAGTATATGTGTTAGTATACAGTATGTCAGTGAACTGACTTTCTACACTGTAGGATGGGAAATAATGTGTTAAGACTACATGAAAGCAACTACCAGGGTGAAGAGAAACCAAAGTAAATCATCACAAACAGACTGCATAAGCATACACACATTGATAAATTATACAGAAGTGAAGACTTCTAGATAAAAACTTTAGGGATTCATATCGCCACTGACACACACACACACACACACACACTCAGAAGTGTGTGAGAGTGCAGGAAATCTGTAGTGGCTTGATGTTATTGTCAGTGATGTTATTGTCAGTGTGAGCACAAGCAGATGGCATTTCCCCTCAACACAAACACAAAGAGGTGAGGCACGACTGTCCAACTCCCAGCAGGGGCAGATGTTAACTCCTCCTCAGGGATTCAGGGGTGAAGGACTGGTCTGTGAAGTCAGACGTGCACACACACACACACAGAGCTGTTTCTAATGGATTGTTAGATTATACCTAAATTAAAACAAAATTAATCTAAGAGAAAGTGATAGCACGCTTGTTTAAAAACGAGGCCCTTGCTGACCTCACTCCTGGTTATCTTAATACATCTTCAGGAGGTCTCATTTACTCCTGTACATACAGTTAGTAGATTTGAGTTCTGGAGACGTACAGGGTCATGTGACAGCCCTGGTGATGTACACTAAGCACATGCATCAGGTTTCAGTCCAGATGCCTCTAAGACACTTGTCTCTGTCTCCAACCCACAGACCTCAGCAGACACCCCCACCACCACCACCAACACCAGAACATGTATGGCACCACATTCCTCTGTTGGCTCATCATCAGTTCTCAGAAAACACCTCTTTTTACTTACTCTGTCAGTCTCATTTTCTCACACACTCTTAGACTGCATTTAGCAGTTTAGCATTTAAAACACACCCTGAGGGCATCAGTAAGGAGGCTGCATTGGAGGCTGGATTTGAGGCTTTTTCTCTGGCTGAGCAAAGAATGTGACCCTCAGTGAAGAGATTACAGAACTTGCACAAAGACACTGTTTCAATGCCTGCAGTCTCATGCAAGCATTGTCTCCATGTCTACCCCGAGAAGGCTTCAATGTGTGAGAATGGGTATGAGTATGTGAGTGTGTTATGTCTGTCTATTTTTCCTTTTTTATGTGAATATGTGTGTAATCCATTGTGTGTATGTATATGTGTTTTTGTGCTGGGCTTTAGACTGAAGCAGAACAGGTTCTTCACCTACAGTAGCTGGAAACAAAACTGCAGCTTCCTAAGATATATAACTGTATAAACAGGTCATCAAGGTCTGTGCTGAAATTGGATTTTTGTGTGTGTGTGAGTGTGTAGCAGTCCTAGCCTAGAGTCTGGACTCGCATGGTTTTCTCAGGATAATTCTGATCATAATGACAGAGTGTGCTTTCCTTTATGAGAGGGCACAAGAAACAAACCCTCTCTGCTGCAAAGCTCTTATTTCTGTCCTATATTCATGCCAGATGTCTCTACAGCTAAACTGTAGGAAGGAATATATTATATGCTATTAATTTATGTTTGTCCACTGTTTCATAATCAGTAACTGTGTTTGTGAATTTGAAGAAAGTACACACAAATTCCTCTACAATCTTGTGCAATATTGTAGGTACTGAAACAGCCGTGCAGCTTATTTGATCATTGCCTTCTTCCACAGCTTGTTTCTCTAATGCATTTCTGCAGCTGTAGCAAGGTGTGAAAAACAACCTGATGTTTTTCACCTGGAAAAAGTCTGGAAGTGTGAAATGAAAAAGCCAAGGGAGTCCTATTTCCTTACTAAGTTGCTGTAATGGCTGTCAAACAATGATCTCAGCAGCTAGTATTGACAAAAATAGAGTTGAGAATGGCAATGGCTCCATATCTCCTGCTACAAATATACAGTACATTTTAGCCCTTATTCTGACTCCTAAAAACACTGTGAGTGGAAGAACAATACACTGTATAATTGCTAAAAAAAAAAACCCAAAGCTGAAGCTGAACTGAAGGTTATGTGTGTGAATCTATGTGTGTGCAGTTGCTATATGTTTGTGTTTGGGTGTGTGGATGTGTGGGTGCGCCATGCTGCATAATTCTTAGCATAACTGGCTGTATCCAGGGTAACATCTCAAATCCAGAAGCTTTGTAGTGAGGCTTATGGCAAAAGTATGCATTCCGGGTGAATTAGTCCACTCTTTAGAAGAACAGTTAGACACACATGACAAAAGGACAACAAGAACAGACCAGTCAGATATGAAAAGCCTCTTTCGTGGAGCTTAAACTTAAGAAGCCCAGTGCAAGCGTATTCCCATGAAGAGGATAAAGGACATTGCACTGGGATGCTCCAACATCTTACTTTTATACAGTAAATCATCAAGTGAACTGGTATATGAGGTCTTTTTCAGACCTTTTTTTTCAAATACTGTATTTTGCCTTTTAGGTACTTGGAATTTGTTTCTCACCAAATACTGTATTTTGTCTGGTTTTAGGTAATTGGAATTTGTTTCTCACGATATGTGTGTGACGTTTGTTCTTATGGTGTTTTGTTGCTTGCTCTCTATTGCTGCTGGAACACAGGAGTTTCCCCATTGTGGGATCAATAAAGACCTACCTTACTTTACCTTACCTTACCTTACCTTCTACATTATAATAGACAAGATTAGATAGAAATGTACTTCCTCATATCTACCTTCTTCTCCAGAAACAGTAGAGCATTATGTTGAATCACAAATCATCTATGGTTTAATCAGTTTTGGCACTGATGTTGGCTTTTAAACCCACTACACAATTTATCACTTCCAAATGACACTGTCCCAACTTGCTTTAAAAGTACTGTGGTTAAACTTCTACTTAAGAATTCATACCTGATCCAGAGCCGATTAATAATTACCCACCAGTCTCTACAGCAGCTTTACTGATTTAACAGTAATCTTTCTAAACATTTTCAGTCTGCCTTCAGGGCCTGTCACTCCACTGAAACTGCACTTACTAAAGTGGTAAATAATGTTCTGCTTACTATGGATTCAGATTCCACCTCTGAACCTCTCTTAATTAATCTCAATGCAGCATTAAATGATTGTATGTTTTTCTTATAATTATATTATTTCAGTATTTTCTGATGTGAAATATGAAGTAACCCAGGGTTCTGTTCTTGGTCCTCTGCTGTACTCCATATATTTCACCAAAAATTTGTTCCTTTAGTTATTTAAATCTAAAGTTAAAGCTAATTTAATTCTTTGATTTCTTCAGGCCTTTTACCTATTACACATTTCCATTTTCATTTTTTCCAAAAGAAAGAAGACAGAGAGAAAGAGAGAGAGATGAGATGTTTATTGAAGTGTAAGTTACAGTGTTTGCTTATGGCTTAAGCCATACCCTCCATACCTCTCACCCACACATTAACCACAGACATCAATAAAATAACTAGGAAGAAACCATACAAAACCTCACTTTATTTTAAGATCCATGGAATTAGACACCTTCTGCAAAATGTTGCCTTAGCAGACTCAAATTTGTTTCATCAATAGTTAGTGATGGAACATGAAAGCAGGTGCTGTTACCCTTTGGATACTAGGAAATACCTTTGGAGAACCATGACATGCAGAATAATGAGGTGGGATAAGGAAATTCTGTGGTATTTCCTGAAAATGGATCAAAAATTAAACTGAAGGGGAAATTCACGGATGCAAACAGAAGTGCAAGTTCACTGAGAAAGCAATGATTTTTAAATGATCTCAACCTGGCTGTTATCTCATTTGGGCTTGACCTCCTATATCATTATTTTATTTATAGCAGGCAAATAATTTCCTGTTCAGTGCAAACAGCAGTGATGGGTGGAGTTCATCACCATTGCAGATATGAACCTTTATTTTCTAACTGGGTCTAGTTTTAAGAAAAGCTCCCACAAAAAGGTAAACTAAAGAAAACATTACCAAGTCTACTGTATGTCCCTCACATGGACACCTAAGTGTGTGTGTAATGTGCTGCGTGTAGGTTTTCCGTGCACATATCTTTAACAATAAAACAAAGAAGGTATCAGGTATTTGATGTCGTCTGAGCATTTTCAGATCAGTGAACTCAGTTAACCTTCTCAGGCCTCAGGCTCAGACTGTTGATATGGGAGAACCTGACTGGTATCACAAACCAGTGCACATTACAGTGTTAAATTAGTTATTATGTTACCTTGCTTTTCAGAGTATCTTATGTGTACTGTAGGTTATGGTATTAACTACTGTATTTTCTCCTGCCAATCTTGACACCGTGTCCAAACCTTGGGCAGCCATTCTTACAGAGTAACAGCATATGGAGCCTTAATCTCAACAAGGCACTCTAACCAAGCCCTACTGTTTATGGGGCAGGGAAAATACATCAGCATAAACAGACCAAGCATTTTAGGATTACAGGATATGACATCATATGAAAAACGAAACAGGTCTTGTTGTGCACAATGGCAACATTTTAACCACACAAACCAGATACAGCCTGGGCAAACACAAACTGCTAAATCCCATGTTAAACGGCAATATTGATTTCACAGCCACAGTTACTCAAGAACATACACCTGAGGCATATTTCAATGTCACAGAGTTTGGTTCAGCGTTCAGTGTGACAAGTTTGTTTTTTCCATTTTGTTCACTTCTTTATTTTTTTGTCTCATAAACAGGCAGAGAACAAACAAGATGGACAGACTACTGATAATCCTTCCAGGAATTTAGTCTATTCTGAATTTATACCATTTATGCCTGATAGCATTAGTTGCTGTACAGATCATCAACACAAAAGATAAGCCACTCCTGTTCAATTACAGGACCTGTTTCTGTTCTTGGGAGTGTTCGCTCAAATAAAAATACTTTGCCCCTTAGTGATGATTACTACAAACTGATTTCCTAGGTGCCAAATTGATACACAAAGACAGAGTTCAATGCTGTACACGTTAGCCTGCTGTCAAACCCTGACACTACTGTCTGCAGCCTCATGTCTACACACAATCTGCTCTAACACAGACAGTTCAGTAAACATGGCGTACAGGGCCCTAGCAGGAACAAGACAAGCCAGTGATTTGAGCCTACTGCTCTGTACATCCTCTTCACAATAAACACTGCAGCCACTAACTGGCTCACAAGAGACCACGAGAGAGGGTGTGTGAGTGAGTGGGCAGATGGGACATGGGTCATGTTCAAACATGAAAGAACCTGTGGCTCTGTGTGGGGAAGAGAGAAGGAGGCAAAGAGGTAGAGGGAGGGAAACAGTAATAAAGCTACAGATACTGAAAGAGAAAGTAGACAACATGGCGACTGTACATTTGTCCTGAGGGAATGACTCTAAGTGTGTGCTGAACTCTGCATGCGTCCAACATGGACGACTGCCATTTAAGATGCATCTGACCTGGTGTGTTTTGAACAGCTTGCCCTCAGGCCCTGATGATGATTTTCTCACAATTACAGCCTCACTTACTTGTTAGATAAACTTCACTATCAAGGCCTATTTATTCGAACAAGACAGCCATGTTTGCTACTTGTCCTTATCACCATTGCAATCACTATTTCAGACTGTGAGTCAAGAATTCAAGGTCTAAACAGCTTCATCCGAGCATAGCTGTAGTCTATAGTCATGTGTTGGAAAACCAGCCAGGGGCATGAATAGAGTCAATCAGACTAGACGCAAACACAGCAAAGCATTGTAGCTGTAGAAAGTGAGGCTGTCTCTGAAAATAGGTGATTGAGCTGCACAATACAGAACATTAACTGAACATTGTGTCAGACATCTGAAATGTGATGAGATTGTAGTTGAATAATGTCTGTTCACAATGGGCATTCAAGATGTCCAAGTGGACAATATATCTAAAAGATAGGGTGTCCAGGTCCTCTGGGTCCACATATTAACACAGTTAGATACAATTGATTTGCCAGAGCCAAACAACTGGACAAATCAGATCTGAACATTGTCAGAAGTAAGAATGAGAAACAAATTTGAGCCAGTCTGAGCAGTGATAATGTTAGTGCTCTGAAATTAAAAGCCCTGGACACCAAAATGGCTCCTGTGCCATTGTTTTAGTTAGCTCTGTTTCCTGTTTGGTCATCCCATACCAGCTAGATAACATTCTTTTTGGGGGTAGAATACTAAAATAGTTTCATTTTAGTGTCTAAGGATGTCCTCAGTAAAGACATGACCAAAAATGCGTTAACAATCCAACAGTTTTCAATGATGGCTATGTTATTTTCAGTTATAGTTACTTACAGTACATAATGTACATGGTGTCCTGCAATGTGTATGACAGAGTCAGCGGGGGAATTTGTGTATTCACTGCAGTGACCAACTCACCCTGAGGGCATGTATGACCACATCCTGGGCCTCCAGCTCTCCCTCCAAGATGCTAAGGAGAGTAAGCAGCTCTGCTCTGCTTAGAGCCTCCACATTCATCTTCTCCTCCTGAAGGGTGACAGAGAAAAAAGGGGAAATTAGAAAAAATGAAAGATAGATTCAAATATGATGCCATGCCTGTCTTAGACAAGCTTTTGTTATATAAAAGTATAGTAAATAAAGCTAATGAAATTCCAATATCATTTACCAAGACAAATATATATATATGTTTCTAGGTATTACATGTGGATTTTTAGAGTAGTGGCAGCTTGTCTGAGTGGCACAGTGCCCGTATAGGATGGGACTTGGGGTCCCAGCTGTGGCCTCACTGGGTTGTGCCCGGTGTTATAAACAAGAAGTCATTAGCATATCTGCAGATAAAGTTGCTGAGGGCCCGAGGATAGCTGTCTGCTCAATTCAGCCCCAAATGAAGGTTCAGTGTGATCTGAATCTCAAGACTGTTATCTCAAAACTACACACACACACACACACAAACTCTCACTCTCTCCTGCACTCTACCCACCACATCCTGTGATTCATCAGCTAGATCCAGTCTAGTCATAGTGGACAAACATACTGTTACACACCTCACATACTGTAGCTGACATCATCCTTAAAATTAAGAAAAAGACAAACAGTTGACCTCATCTTTTAAAGTATGGGTGAGGTTGCTTTTAGGTTATTGTCAGTGCCTTATTACCGTGTGGTTTGCTATAACAAAGGCTATAATGGTCAGCATGTCTCTCTGTCACACATGACATCAAATAAAAAAAAAACGTTGTGCCTTAAGAGTTTGTAGAACCAGTACATGCTTGATAAACCTGCTGTATAAAGACAGATGTTTGTCAAAACAGGGTAGTCTGAGTAAGATCCACTGGGAGCTGCCAGAACAGCTTCAGTGTTCCATGGCATAGAGTCTAGAAATCTCTGAGGCTCTACTGGAAGACATTCCTTCATTTGGTGTTTTGGTGATGATGATGAGGATGGAGAGTTCTCTCATGTGAGTCTCTAATCATCTTCAGCCATTTAGACATGAAACCTGCTGACTGAGAAGGCTGTAGGTTATGATTCTGATCTGTTTCATACTGAAACCATTCACTGACTCTTCATGCCTGGTACAGAAGCATCTGCTATTGTAAATTTTTCCTTTAATGTGTCACTCATCCCTATTACAACTGAAAGCAACGATCCTAATCCAAGCATTAGGTCTCTGTTGGTGTTCTCTATATGCAGAACACACCGCCCAGTGTGTTCAACGCAATAAATGATGGCGGTGGTTGCTCAGGAACAGCAGAGGATCCACCTGCCGTGGGGCCTTTGTCTGCCTGAAGGGACTGTCATTTTTCGAGTTGGCAAATTTTAGTTCGACTGCCAAGTGTCGCAAACATCCTAAAATCATCACATGGACTGCTATTTATATAGATCGCATGTAGTAATAATGGTAAAGTCAATAAGTCATCAATATTACTGAGTACTCGCACAAATTAACCTGAATATGAACTCACCATTGAAAGCCCCGAATCGCAGTGATTGATGTTCCTATCTTCTGTTTATGTAAAAATTATTTTTGACATTATGATTTAGCATAAAGTCCAACCTAGTCTGAGGCAGGAAAGTTCCCCTTAAACAGAAATAGAAAAGCCGCATACGGTGCGAGCAAATATAAGACTGGGTGAGAGACTGTGGCTTTATGCGTGCTGCTTTCTTATTAAAAAGCCTCAGCAAGTCGGAGACGGAAATTCTGGCAAACATTTCCACAACCTTCTTGTAAACATACCTTCATGCGCTCTGTTCCGGCCGCATTAACTATTCCGTAATTCCAAAGAGGAGGTTCCACAACAGCATGAATCAAAGCACTCCACTGTCACGGGCGCTCCTGCTCTGAGGAGAGTTGGAACAACAGACGTTCAATGACCAGGCCGCCAGCCAATCAGAAGGGCGTAGTGCAACATTCTAACCAATGGCCGGCGGGTTTGTCGGCAGGGGGCGGGAATAAAGGCGTTCTCGAATCTCTTTGTCTCGGACGTCCAGTATTAATTTCGGTCCACTGTTGAGATTCTGCGCTCATTTCCTAAGTGTTTGTGGATTTGATTTAAGCGCACAGTAACTATATATTGACTAGTTGTCATGGTTAGTTTCTCAGTTTTAAGAGTATGAGAGCACCCTAACTCTGAATTTAGCTAAAAATTAAATGAACATAAAAGTAAATAAATAAACATATAATGGTTAAAAACACAAAAGAATGTAGCCCACATTGAGCTTCTGCACAAACGATCCGGAAACTTGCCACAACTCGTAAAACTGGTTATTTCCCACTGTTCCCATAAAACTGACGCCTCTTTTTAGAGAGGCCTTGCATCGTTTCACATGGTGTTTCAGCGCCTACTAATGGTCAAATAACTGCATCACACACACTCTCCAATCTGCCTTCATTAGACGTGAGCACACACACTGTCAAGCTACTATATATTTCAGCGTTTTCAGTTTGGGCATTTAGCGAGATCATGGTGGGGCTCTCAGTGAAACAGTCCTAACAAGTAAAAGTAGGTCAGTGATTCAGAAGGAAAGTTAGTTTAATAGTTTAATCTTTGCCTCTCCTCCTTTTGTTTCTGTGATTACCACGTCCGGACTGAAAGGTAGGAATGGAAACCTGATGAGCAAGATGGTTTTAATAAAGGATCTGCTCCAAATTCTGCACAGTAGTTGTAGCGGAAAAACCAAAGCATCCAAAACAGTGTTCTCATATTACAACTCTGCCCTGCTCACCTGTCTGACTGCTGACAGTTAACACTCTCATGATGATAGTCTCAAATTCACAGTTTCTGCATAAAGATATAAAGCACATAACAAATATCAGTGTTACAGTTATCACTTATTAACTCAACAACCTTTATGTGCAATCTGTACACACACACACCCTCACCCCACTCCAGTCACATAGCATGTCTGATCATGCCAGAGCATGCTTGTGTTGGCTTGTTTCACTGGCTTTGTGTCTAAATGTCACAGATGTATCAATCACCTTCTAGACAAAAAAATCACATATTACAAAAAACCCTCTAATTATTAATGAGGCAGAATTAAATGTTATAATTATAGACTTTACTTTTCAAAGCAACAGTTGTCCAGTTTTCAAAGTGCAAAATTCCTCTTTGCATTGCAGTGGAGTAGAAGTAAAAAGCAGCAGAAAATCACCAAACTAAACAATATAATTTGCCTAATATGACATGTTACTAAATTACAGCTAAATGATTGTCAAACATGGGGTAAAGCAGGGGGAGAGCACACTGAACAAATTAAATGTGAGCATTTTTATGAGATAAAGTAAATACAAAGTCACAAAGGACATCTAATTTGGAACATATCAGTAATGTCTGTAATGAGTGGAATGTGGTGTATGAGGATAAAGCAAACATACTGTACAATGTCAGAACACCAGGGGAGGAGAATGAGATCATCATTCATCAGAGTATTATAGTTTCCTGAGCTTTAATGTTTTGTTATTGAAAATATATAATGCATAGAAAAAGCTGCTTATTGAAAGTATGCAAGGTTGGACTTGAAGCAAACCGTTATGCTGGTTTGAAATGTTATGCTTGTTCTGAACAATATATAATTCAGTATAAAAGTGGTTTCTGTGTGTACTTTAACATAGACAATCTATATTTTGTCTATATTGATGAACACTTAACCCACGACAGTATGATTGGACAATAACCCTCAGTGCAATACCTGTAAATATACCTTGTACAGATTACAGATTACAGAGACTTGTACAGGTCTCTAGTTCTTAAGTACTCTGTTTTATCCCTATTTATCTCATTTCAATGAACATTCCTTTGTTGTCTGCATTGTTTACTGTCTGTTTAGACTGCTTTTTCTGCATTGTTTGCACTGTTTGTTGATGTTAATGCTGCTATTTTGTTATATTACACAGCCTTATGCTGGTTTACTATTTGCACATTGAAAGCCGATGTACCAGGGTCAAATTCCTCGTGTGTCCATCACACCTGCCCAATAAAGCTGATTCTGATTCTGAGAAGCATAAAATTCTAAGCTGATCTGATATTGATGCAGGATAAAGTGAGAACCGGCAGGTTACAGAAAATCACTAGCTGGGGGGAGAACTGGTTGCAGTTGCTCTGAGCTCTAGCTTCAGCTTGATGGGTTTCTTGGGTGCAGTAAATCCCTCATTTCCCAGCACCATTGGAATCTAGGGGGAAAAGTGTCACAAATGAGCCTCTACCAAAGTTCAGATCCACTTTCACCCAATCATGCTTAAAACCTGTCACTATTTTAATACTGTAAATACTGAAAATGTCTTCTCACATCTGTCTCCTTGCATGTGACAAAGCTGAAGTTCTGAAGGACCTCCACTATGGCCAACTTTATCATCAAAAGTGCAAATCGCATGCCAATACAGTTCCTTGGCCCTGCTCCAAAGGGTAGGAATGAATAAGGATCTATGTTGTCTTTATTCTCTTTACTGAACCTGAAAAAAAAGATACATATCAATATGTGTTTCAGACAAACTGCTAACTTTGGGTAAAATCTCACCTTAACCTTCCATTAATCCAATAAATTACCTTTCAGGTTTGAAGGCCTCAGGCTCAGACCACAAAGCAGGGTCATGGTGGAGAGTGTAAACTGGTATGATGACAGTAGTTCCCTTAGGGATGGTGACACCATTCACTTCAACAGAAGACTTTGCCACTCTCTCTAATCGACTACCGATTGGGTACAGCCTCGCTGACTCGTTCACTACCATGTCCAGGTATTCCATCTGCATCAGGGCTTCATAGGTTGGTTGGCTCTGGAGGGCAGTGAAGTACACTTATCAGCTGGTAGCACAGCACAGGCGCATGTGCTGAGAAAACAAAATGTGCTGCAGTATTTAAAAAATAACAATAATAAAATAACCTTTTCAGGGAAGGCTTCATCAATCTCCTCTTGCAAGGTCTTTTGGATGTCGGGGTGGGTTGCCAGGTTGTAAGCCAAAAAACCGAGTGAGCTGCTACTGGTTTCATAGCCAGCAAATATGAATATCAGTGCCTGAGAAAGGATCTCATGATCAGTCAGCCCTGCAACATAAATACATCATGACTAAACTAAAATTATTATAATGATAACAGTTCAGGGCTGGAAAGGGTCTACTCAGTGCCTGACTTATGAACCCAGTTCTTTCTCAGTTGAAGAAAGTCAACAAGTTAACTGCTGTTCTGACCAGAAAAGATGCCCCACTGAAGACATTCACAAGACAATATAGGTGACTTAAAGGTTTACTTCCTAGTTGCCTTTAAACCTTTAAACTTGTCAGTGAGTACAAAAAGTAAGTCAAATGAAAAAGCAATGACTTTTTCTTAAAATGAGATAGTAGCCTTTGATATCTTTGACTACACAATTATGAAAAAGACAGGAGGACTAGATAGTAAATATTTTCCTTCAGCAACAACTACAGGAAAATGTGTGAACTTTAATTTCTTTGTCTAGTTACATTCTCTACCTTTTTGGGAGCTCGGATCATTTTTGTTTTTTTCCGAAATCTGACAGTCCACCATTAGCTGCATGAAGTCTACTCGGTTCTGCCAGACAAAAAACAAATAAATGTCTAAGGAAAATGTTATGAACAAAAATATCTATATATACAGTATATCAAAAAAACTGGCCGACAAACAACATCAAATTCATTGCAGCTACACTAATTTACTTTGTGTTCATTCTTATTCCGGTTGGATTTGATCTTCTCTAGAAAATTGTAAAAGAAATTCAACACATCAGCGGGGAAGAATGACACTTCCATCTTCTTAAGAACTGGCTTGAGGAATGGAAACAGAACTAAAATCAAAGAGAATTGAAAACATATCATTAATTCAGGTCAAGAGGACAACACAGAAATTCTGGATAAAAAATAAAGTTTGGCATACTGTACCAATGAGCACAAGTAAGGGATTAAAGAAGCTGAACTTGACCAACTTTTTAATGTTTGTTACAAAAGGATCAGAGGGTTTATTGATGGAATCAATGTCCACACTGAAGGCAGTGCTGGTCACAACATCCATACTGTAAGGTCCGAATACTCTGCAAGAAAGGCAAACATGCAGTTCCAAATGACTATAATAATATTTACATTAACTCTGACTGAATAATACTGATGAAAGGTTCTGTGTCCAACTCCAACATTACTCACTCTTTAACCTCAATGACTTCATCTGCCTCTACTTTCTTGTAAAGATTCTTGATTAGATTACTTGAGTGCTGCAACATTATCATGTACATCTGCCCAAAAGTAAATAAAGAATACAATGAAACACGAAATCTTCACATACATTTATAAACCAGTTTTAGTGTGGATCCTGTGGAAATCTGATAGAGTGCATTTCAACCTCTTTCAGTCGTCCGCTGGTGAATGATGGAGAGAGTATGCTGCGAATCCTCTTCCACTCCTCATCTTTTACTACTGATATGGCATCATATAAAGGTCCATTTAGGCCTGTATCCTAAAGCACACACATATACTCACAGAAAATGCCCTCATTACATTGTGTTGGACTAGTATTAAAATATTAACTACACAATCTTTTTTTTTTACTCGTCTGTTGGTGAAGACAGAATAACACTCCTTAACCAAGATCGCTCTGATCATTGCTGTGTCCATTACAGCCAATAATGGCATCCTGCCATCGTACAACCTTGAAAGGCAATAGCAGATATTGCAGTGACTTAGTTACAGTTTGGAACATTGCATGAGACATGTACTGCATGCTATATTCTTTCTTTATTAATATAATACGCTTACCCCCACACCTTCCCATATTTCTGATAGCATTTTGTATCAAAATTGTTGATGCCCTGTGGAATCAAACAACAGAGTGTTAAATGCATCGAAACAGCCAAAACCATTATCAGCATAGTGTCCACTTAGATCAGTGGACCAATCTGGAAAATATGTATCACCTGTCTGTACTCCAAAAACGTTCCAATGAAGGGCAAAGGTCTGGGTCCAGGGATGCCTATTTTCTTGAAAAAGCCATATGGAGCATACCCATATCTGAAGATTAAAACAGGATTAGAACACTGAGACCAAGAACACCTGCTATTACAAAACTAATTTTATCTACCCCGTTTTCTTTTGTTTAATTCCCAAAGACTTTCTTTATTTCATGCTTTGCTTTTATAGAGATTTTCTTTTATATTGCCTATTTTTTTTTACCACAACAAACACAACAATTTAAATTGTTTTATAAAGACTACACTTATACATGTTATCAAACTTTCTTTGTTTGTTGGTTGGTTTGTCCACAGCATAACTCAGAAAGTTAGGAATGGATTTGCATGACATTATTTGGAACATCTCATTAGATTTTGGTGATGATGCAAACCATCCAGAATGTTTTTAATGATACTTCACCATTGTGAGATAGGTCCAATTTCAATATTTTTGCTTCTAGCTCCATATATACAGTAATGCCTAAAACTGCACAATAACATCCACGCAAGCTCTACCACACACCAAAGTTTGATCTGCTGATCCATATTGGTCAGATTTATAAGGCTGACAGAAAACTTGCTAAAGGGAGACGACAAAGTTAAACAGTGTAACCTTTTGAGTTATGCTGTGGATAAACCAACCAACCAAAAAAAAAAAAACCCAACAAAAAACACCAGTAAAATAAAAATACAAGGAGGTAATAATAAAACTGCCTTGTATTGTAGCTAAATGACCATTTAATGACATATTCTTCCTCAGTGAATGTCTACATTAACTGGCATGAGTCAAGCTGTACAAGTACAAGTACATTTAATTCCCTTAAATGGTACCTAATACTGAATGCAATGAGGCTTTGCATGCAGCCCCCATAAATACTGACCCCATGTGGGCTTGAGAGATGGCTGCTAAAGGTGAGCAGTGTTACCACATATACAGAAAGCAACTGTTGTTACTTGCACCTTCTCAAACCAGTTTTGCAGGATAACCTCCTATTTTGTATGACATGTTGGTTGGTTCACCCCTAATGTATTTAATGGAAGTGGTCTGAGAAGTCTCTGTGGATGATGTGAATTTTTGTACCAAAACCTTCCGTCACCTTTAGACATTTTCACTCACATTAGTTTCACCTGCTTCGTTATTGTTTGCACCTGTTTACACCACTATTTAGGCAGTGTCCTCCCACAAGGACGCTGTCAGATTGTTCTAGACCCCAGCTCTGACTTTCCAGCACTATTTTCGGCTTTGGTATTTGTGTTTCTGACCCGGACTGCTTCCTTGGATTATTCTGTTCTGCCTTGCCCTCAAAATTCGGACTGCTTCTAGGTGTATCGGCTTAACGGACTTCTCTTTGGACAACGTATTTTGGATCACCTCTGTTGTATGTGTTTGCTGGCTCTGACCTCTGACTGCTAATAAGGACATGTGAGTTTTGTGTTTTTCACCGTGTCTTGTATGTTTTGTTGTTGTTGTTGTTCAACGTTAGTTCTCTTAATAAAGAGACGGTTTTGTTTTACACTTCCTCGTCTGGTTATTTAATTGAGTTCACCTAACACTTTTCGGCCGTATCGCGCGCGCCGTTTCTGTCATTGTCTAGTACAGTCACTTTGTTGTAGTTAAATCATATGCCTCATGTGTAATGAAGCAACTTCAGGGTGGTGTCATTGCATCATATAGAAACTTGTCCAACTTCACAAAGCAAAACCAATTGTACACGTGAATCCTTTTAGAGGAAGATTTGTTTTCCTATTTACACAAACGTATTAATTTGGGGGGTTTAATGGCGTGATTTCTATCGTGATGGGGGGCTTTACTTTGGAATAAATCTGAAGTAAAAGGATTTACATATAGAGTAGGCGAGTACTGTTTCCCCGTAGTTACATGTGTTGCCCCTCACCTGAACCTAATCCGTGACCCTACGTTACTGCTGCCTGCTCCCAAGAATTTGGGATGTAACGTTTACCCATAATAAAGATAAGAATAATCAACAATATAATATACATAATCATTTTACAGCTCTTCTGCTCTGTATCAGATCCGTTCACACAGCACGGCAACTTTCAGACAAAAACTACATTAAAAATACTCAGACACCGTCTCCACCTAAACAGCCAAACCAATTAGGTTATTTGTCTACAGTTGGTAATGGCTCTAAATTAGATAAAAGACCGTGCACTTACATTGCAATGGCAGTAATGACGATTGCTACTAAAGTCCAGGTCGCGATAGAAAAGTCCGTAAAAAAGCCCATTTTATCTTCTGGGTACAAGGATCGCGACTGTGCACTATAGCTAGTGCTGTTCCAAACGGAGCGAATCTGTATATAGCAGGTTCTATACGAATCGAGTTTACACTTGTACGTACTGACACCAGGAAATAGTCCTTTAAGTCCGACACTGATAAAGGCTCTCACATACACTGGATCACTTCCTCCTAATAGGATACTTGTTGATGCTTAGTTCAGGGGCGGTCCGACCTAGTTGGAACACACAGGAGTTGCATAAAATAATCACCTCTTTTATTGGTCAAGTAATATGATCATATATGGCTGTAACATTCACCCTGTGACAAATGGATACTATTGAATTTAGTTATTTGCTACACCAGAGAATAAAGTCGGTCTAGTGTGGTCAATTACAGTTGGAAAAGTGTTTATATGGCGCTTATCAGTGCTTGTGTATAGGTGTGCTCCTGTCCTTCATTAAATAACACTGCACCTCTGGTGACCACAGCTGGCAAGGTTTTGGCCAGGAATGTGGCATAAAGCTTCTGTACCAGCTGGAAGACATTTCCCTGGCAGGTTGTCTGAACAAACGGTTGGTTGTACAAGATCCATAAACTCTGCTTTCCCGTTCTTCATCACAACAAACAGCATGCCACTGAAACCAGGCACACAGGTTCCACAAGTACACCTGTTATAAATGTTCTGTTCATCACCTTCTGTGTTTACATGTTTACACCTGCCAGTGTGTCCCCTTACTCTTGGGCTTGTCAATCCGTCTTCCTTGCCACAGCGATAGGATTTCCCTCCTGTATTACAGAAACGAGTAAATAAAACAAAAGGAAAACTCCAAGAGGTCACAAAAAGACAACTCCACATATCAAATGACTTGATAGAAAAAAGCTGTCTTGAGATTCCAGGGGGCTGTCTTTGGCTGTGGCTATCTGACCTGAGAATAAATAGGGTAGTTTTTCCTCATTTCTTCTCTTGTAGTTCTGTGATCCCATATGAAGGTATTAATGTCAACACACTATGTGTGTGTGTGCCTTCAGTTTTGCTATCTGTTTGCTGTCAGTTCTGCACTCAGTGGCAATATGCCTTCAGTTTTGCTATCCGTCTGCTGTCAGTTCTGCACTCAGTGGCAATTGTGCTGTTTATTTGTCTCAGATCAGTCTTGTAAAGATGAGTTTCTGAACAGTAGTGAGAGAAGTCCATGAGAGACTGATAAGGTTTTGAGGAGAGACCATAAGAAAGAGGAAAAACCTTATAAGAACACAGCAGGGGAAAGACAGAATAATTTGCAAATGTATCAAAGAGATTAAAACAATTATACATTTTCATAGAGTCCAAAGGTAATGTTTTTGACTTTTGACCCAGTCACTCCTGGGTACTTTGTCAGACAATATTCAGTTCAACACAGAGAAAAAACAGTGATGGAGGCATTAGGCTGCAGTTACATAGTTTCTGTTGCTATTTTGAGGATAAGGTGTAATAGCAGCTGGATGGCCAGTGTGTCATCCAGATGTTGTCTGGGAAATGGTAATTGATGTGCTAATGAAGTCTGAGTTCTGCCTGTCTCTGAGCCTCAGAGAGTCTGTGACATTGAAAGGGGCACCTGCCTATCTGAACAGATAACAGCAAACCTGAGTTGCCTCTCTCCCTGTCTCTCAATGAAACACATATATATTCATGTGTATTCCTACACACATACATGAAAACATGAAACTGATAAAAGCCCATTTCACTAAAGCATTGTTTGCTTTTAAAGTGCCTGTTGATCAGTCTAACAAAATCTGCCTTTTTCATTCCTGGAGACTTACTGTGACTTGCAAAGTGGTAATCAGACAGCAGTAGTACACTTTTCATCGCGCTCACAGATATACACCTACAGTTGTAGAGCTGCCATAAGGCTCCTAAAGTTAATTGCGCCCTTGTGCAGTTGGCTGTGACCACCCTGGCTTGTCTGATGATTTGGTGGACAGCCTGGTGAATGTCACCTTCTATAACCATTGCGTGTGTGCCTGACTATTAGTGTTTATGTGTATCTCTGTCACTTACTGTCATGCATGTGCATGATGAGTCATCCTGGGGACGAATGTCTGGCTGCAGCTAACGGACAGGAGGATGCCATGTTTAAATTAACCAAAACCAGGTTGCTGCAAAATAATGACAGATATCTGGTCATTAAACTATTCAGTGCTTTTGGTCATTGTAAACACTAAATGATTTTGGGTTTACATTGTAAGATTTAATTAAGCAAAACCTTGATGGTTGTATTATGTAACCTGTTGATATTTTTTTATAAACTTTGACTTTAAGCACAAAAAAATATTTTTTTAAACCACAGTGTTTGCAATAAAACTAATACAATTATAATTAAACATGCAATTTTATTTTATGGAACTATGGGTTTGATGGGCTGAACCTGGACTGGAGATACCCTGGAAGAGCAGGAAACCGACCAGAAGACAAGCAGAAATTTATACTGTTGTGCAAGGTTAGGTCCTAAATTTTTGTTCTTGGACTCTCAGAAATATGCCATTTATGACAATATATGATTTAATACTTGACCGAGACAAAACCATGTTTAGTGTTCAACCTGAGCTCAAAGACACCTTTGTGACTGAAGGGACAAAAACTAATTGTGACAGTTTAATGGTTACTGCCAGTGTTTCTGCTGAGAAACATCGATGCCAGTTATGAAGTTGCACAGACTGCTATGTAAAACTGATTTAATGTAATTCTTGACATTACACCCATGACTAGCTATAATCATGTGTTATATAACGTGCTCTCGTCTGCATTTTATCAGGCACCTGGATTTCATTAATGTTCTGACATTTGACTTTCATGGCCCCTGGGAAAATGTCACAGGACATCACAGTCCCCTATACCAGGGATCTAAAGACAAAGGAGACAAAATCTCTAACACTGCAAGTACCATGATTCATATTAACTGCCCAAACACCTCTGAATTTAGGGATATCTTCTCATGCTAACAGATTTTTGTCTTCACATTTTAGGACTATATCATACGGTACTGGCAGGACCAGGGAGCATATAGATAAGATACTGTTAATTTATGCTATTTAACAGACGTGAAGTCTGACGGGCTTGAACTGGTCACTCATGTCTGAAGCATGAGTAAGGGGTTTTTTACAACACAATCAGGGAAGTAAGTGACACAGCTAACTGCATGTCCACTTTCAGTTAAAGAGAAACGCCTGAAAATAGAAGATAACACACACACACACACACACACACATACTGCCTATATGAACATTCTAGAATATTTACGTGTAACGTACCACCCATGTACAGGGCAGTCCCAGCCCGAGAAGATAAATGTGAATGATTTTTGATTATTGAAGCTCTTGGAGACTTATCATCTCTCAGAGCCCAGCGCTGTAATAACTCTGCATTTAACCAGAAGAAAATAAATCTACGTAAAGCTGATTCCTGTTTCCTTCTTGGGGCCTTCAGATAAAAGAACCGGCTGTAATACTGGGTCCTTGGCTCGCGGACGCGTCGCACACCCCGCAGGATGAGGAGAAGGTGGAGGCGGAAGCGCCGAGGAACCAATGGCTCAAACCTGGAGGATTCTGGTCGCCAGGTCTTTGACTCTCACCACGTCGCACACCTTGCAGGGGGAGGAGGAGGTAGGAGTGCAGAGGACCCGACGGCATGAACCTATACATTTACTTTTTATAATTTACTTGCATGCATGTATTATTATTACAATGTATATAAATTAAACAATTGCAAATAAAAACAAAGTTTCAAAATGCTGGCAGTAGTGATGGAGTTCATTGTAAGTATATGCTAACTTATGTGCTTATACTTTGAGTTATTTCTGAGCAACTTGTGAATTTTACACTGGGGTTCAATTATTTCTTATTGTTATACTGTAATTAATTTTATTGATCTGATTTTGTTGTTCCACAAGCAAAACAATTTTTCAGTCAGTGATATAACAAGCTATGGTGGTGACCTAACAGAAATGCTCTTAAATGTTCAACAGGAAAACAACTGTTGCTACCTGTTATAAACTGAACTTTGGTCTTTCATCCTCAGTGGAGTTGAAGAGAGACTGTGTAAATCCTGTATCAAACTTTCCGCCTCAAAAGCTCAACCCAACACACATGTCTCTCTTTTCTTATTATTGATTTTCATAACAGTCTGCGGCGTTTGCTGCTAAAGTTCTGACAGTAAGTAATGTGTAGTGGTTAAAACAAAACAAATGACTGATGATTTCTCTATTTTGAGCATTCTTATATACACAGCTGTTCAAACGTTTGGGGTCATATCCATTTTTCTACTTTTGACATTTAAGCAATTCAATTACAGTAAATAACTATAAATATACACTGCCACGGGTTAAAAAAGGTGGATGCATTTTTGTTGATTATGTACAGCAACAATGTGTATCTGTTCAGAGGCAATGTTGGAAAAGACTGTGTCACTACGCCCCCTGATGTGTTGAAAAAAGACAATTAACAGAGGAAGTCCGAACTTTTCAAGGTTCCATTCCTTAGCAGGATAATGACCCAGAAAACAACTCCAGGCTGTGCAGAAGAAAAAAACAAGGTCAACTTCAAATGGTGGGATGGCAGAACAGTGTCCAGATGTAGAGTGAAAGCAAAGCAGCCTATAAGTGCAACACATCTGTCCAAATCTCTGCAACAGTGTGACCCAACAATATTTGATTTGTTCAGCTGTTGAATTACATTAAAAACAACTGGTGACCCCAAACTTTTAACTAATAGTGTATATTAGGTGAGGTTGAGGAGCAACACATACTGTATATGGATGTGCTAAAAGAGGACATGAAGTTAATTGGTGTAAGAGTAGAGGATGCCGAGGATAGAGTTAGGTGGAAACAGACGATTCGCTGTGGCGACCCCTAACGGGAACAGCCGAAAGAAGAAGAAGGCTGCACATAAATATTCACTCAGTAGTCTGCTGATATCACTGACCAGCTGTTGTGCATGGAAAAAAGAAAGTTTGATTCTTTAACCAGCAGCAATTATACAGCACAGTTTACTCACAGCTGCATCCAGTGTGCAAAATCCACAGGTATCTCACATGTAACATTATAAACATTTCAATGTTTTTAAGATAATAGAAAAAATTTATTATAATTGTGTTTATGGTGAAACTGATTGTGGTCCAGTGGATGCAT